AGCGACCAACTGTGCAAGCTGGCTGACTCGTGCATACCCTGCGATGACTGGTGAACATTCCATGAGGTTATTCAACAGCAGCGTGCCCGCGGGGTTAATCAGTTGCAGCGTGCCCGCGGGGTTAATCAGTTGCAGCGTGCCCGCGGGGTTAATCAGTTGCAGCGTGCCCGCGATGACCTATGGGAGTTTAAGGAAGGCAGTGGAGGTGTGCGATGCAAAGGCGCTTGACGCCAGCTTGCGCGCTGCACAGTGTGTCGCTGCAAGCTTAGCTGGTGTCAAGCTTAGCTGGTGTCAAGCTTAGCTGGTGTCAAGCTTAGCTGGTGTCAAGCGTTCCCTGTCAGACCTCTGCTGCTTTTCTTACCCTTGCATGATGCTTGCCCGCTCTTCACCTGCAACACATCGCACTGGCCCTACTCTTCCCATTCACAATAACCTGGTTGTGATACGTCTCAAAATTAGATGACTATCCCATGCTTGCCCCCTTCAGCTGCAGGCTCGCTTCAGCTGCAGGCTCGCATCAGCTGCAGGCTCGCATCAGCTGCAGGCTCGCATCAGCTGCAGGCTCGCATCAGCTGCAGGCTCGCATCAGCTGCAGGCTCGCATCAGCTGCAGGCTCGCATCAGCTGCAGGCTCGCATCAGCTGCACGTCGTCTCATTGTCGCTGCAGCTGATCACATGCTTGCCCCTAACTCTCCCCTTCCGTCCTGGTTTCCTCCCGGTTTCCTCCCGGTTTCCTCCCGGTTTCCTCCCTTGTCTTCCCGCCCATCAGCCAGCGCTGAAGCGTCAAGTCCTAGTACTCAGGGCAAAGGCAACACTGTAGGAACAATTAATTGAAACAATGTCTCTTTTTTTTTTACCGTTTGCCTTCTCGTTTGTCCCATTCCTCTCCCCTTCCGTCCCTTCCATCCCCCATTCTTCCCTTCCCTCTTTTCCCCTCAGCCAGTGCTGAAGCGCCAAGTGGCAGTGCTCCAAGGCAAGGGCAACACTGTAGGGGCCATTGAAACGCGCCTCTCTTCCCTTCTTCCCTTCTGCCCGCCCTCTCTTCCCGTCCCTCACCCCTCTCCTCTGGTGCGCATCCCCTACGTCAGCCAGTGTTGAAGCGCCAAGTGGCGGTGCTCAAAGGCAAGGGCAACACCGTGGGGGCCATTGCTGCTTTGAAGAAGTACCTTGAAACGTAAGGCATACATGAATGCAGTGACGTGTGAAGACTGAAGAAGTGTGAAGTACTTGAGAGTGCACTCTGCCGCCCTCGCTGGGAGAGAGAGAGGCTCCCTTCTTCTAGTAGTATATCAACACGCCTTCATGGTGGGCCACAGTGGGCCACAGCCTTCATGGTGGGCCACAGCCTGCTTGCTGCGGACAACCCATAGGTGCATGTCATGCTACACGAGGCATGGAAGTCGATCGGACGTCTCTCTCATGCCTCTCCTTCATTTCTCCTCCCTTCTCTTTATCCCTCTCCCTACCCTCTTCCCTTCCTCCTCTTCCCCTCCCCCCCCCCCTCGTCGCCAGCTACATGGCGGACTACGAGGCATGGAAGGAGCTGGGAGACCTCTACGTCAGCCTTCACATGTATGTCATTCGAAATGCGTGCCCTCCTATTTTATGGGAGCATGCGCCCAAATACATACGGTACCATATGGTGCATGAGCTAGGAGGCGTGTACGTCAGCCTTCGCATGCATGTTCTCCATGATGCCGTCTCTCTTATCGTATGGAAGCTTTCGTCCTCCACTTGTGGTATTATCATACCATATGGAACATGAGCTGTGAGACGTCTACACAAGTGTGCACATGTATGTTGTGATGCCACCTTTTACTGTTGTGTGCTCATGCTTGGATCATCGCTCTCTTATTATCTCCATTCCCTCTTCGCTCATCTACTGGCAAGTCCGTTCTTGAGATGACTTAAGTCGCCCCTCTTCCATCCCGATTCGCTGCCCCACCCCTTTACACCCAATCTGTTCACACCCCTCACCATTTTTCACACCCCTCACCATTTTTCACACCCCTCACCATTCTTCACACCCCTCACCATTGTTCACACCCCTCACCATTTTTCACACCCCTCTCCATGGCTTCATTCTATTCTTCTTGCCCCGTCTATACTACCCACTCTCTTACTCTTGTTCACTTCACTCCCACTCCTCTTCCCCTGTTCGAGGTTCAAGTATGCAGGCTGGCAGATCTGCTATGAGGAACTGTCGTCGCTCCTATCCTCATCCTGCCTTTACCTCAACCCCCTTTTCTTAGCACAACTCCCCTTTCCCCCGCGCCTCTCCTACCGCCTTGCCTTTCAGGTTCAAGCAAGCAGCATTTTGCTATGAGGAGCTGTTGCTGTCTGCCCCTGTCAACCCCATCTACCACGTCACTTATGCGGAGGTATTGGGTGGTACAGAGTGGTGCAGAGTGGTGCAGAGTGGTTCAGAGCGGTTCAGAGTGGCATCCTGTGAAGCATGAGAGAGTGTGGTGGGACCATTCACACCACCCCATCCACCTTGTCATTCTTGCCGAGTTACTGAGTGGTTAAGAGTGGTGCAGAAGAGTGGTATGGAGTTGCAATCCCTCATGACCTTGCGACTATGTTTGTTGTGCTGAGATATGCCATGGTATTTGTGGCCTGAGGCACCTCATTCTATGCGTGCTATGGTAGTATGGTGAAGGCAAAGGTGAGGGGAAGGGAAAGGGGAAGGGAAAGGTCCTGTATAGCTGCTTTCTCATCATCTCAGTCAGCTGTCTCTGTCTCACTCCCTTTCCCCCTTCTTTCTCCAGATCCTCTATTCTATAGGCGGGGCAGAGAACTACCGACAGGCCATGTCGCACTACTCTGCTGCGATAGAGTACAGTGGAGGCACCAACCTGAGAGCGCTCTATGGCACCTGCATGGTGAGACTTGCTTGCATGGTGAGATGTGCTTGCATGGTGCGAGGTGGTTGCATGGTGCGAGGTGCTTGCATTGAGTGCCATGATGAGCACTTATTGTTACAAGGAGCACCAAGTATGACAATGTTGCTGCACGGATAGGGGAACCACCTGTGATGTTACCACATGATTGGATGGTTGTGATTCACAGTAAGGGCGTATTCCTACGAAGTTGCATCAGAATCAACAATCCCAAATTCATTATTGATCCCGCAGCCGGTCTATAACGCCAAGATAAAACACGAGGACGGCCACCTCAGCGTCGCACCAACGCCGCTGATTGGCAGCCGCTCGGTGTGCATGAGTGCATATCTGTGCACTCGTGCTTGTGTGTGCACGAGTGCATCTGATGCATGCACGACCCCCTACCCATGGATATGCGTATTTGTGCATGTGCGCGTGCTTGAATGCAGACATCAGCAGCGTTGCGCAGTGCAGGCAAGCCATCCCGAGGGGCGGCAGCAGTGGAGAGTGAACCGGAGGGGTTGGTGGAGACAGCAGCAGAGGCGATAAAGCAGGAGTACCGCTTCAAGCGCCATGAGCTGCTCAAACCTGTAGTGGAGCCCACTCTAGCGAAGCTTGTATCATGATATGTCGTATAAGATCACGATCTATCAATATAGAGGGGCAGCATTGAAATCGGAGGGGTGAGTAGTTGAGAGTGGTGGAAGCTGTATGCTTACACTCCAGCATTTTATGCGTAAAATTGTGGAGACTCAATTTAGCACGCCTAAGGTATTTTGCCTCATGCCATGGGTGATATCACCACCAGTAGGCAAATTCCCAACATGCTAGGCATTTCTTCAAATGAAAGATGGTTCTGCCAGGGCCTACTTTTGGATTTTTACTACTCTGATATTGGGGAGTGGCATTTTGCACTACTATGAAAATCAGAGTGCATCCTCACAGTTTCTCTGATTTGCCAGGGTTTTTTTCCATTTTGAAAAATTTACACTGATAGTGCAGAGGGGAAATTTCCACAACTCTGTTCTGCTGTTGTGCACCCCGACAAAGGTTGAGGGGATTTTGTGGTTGGTCCGATCCGATAGACGTACGTTTCATTTCAAATACACATACATACATTAGTCACCATGCTCACCACCCTCTGAGGCACTCTCACAAGAGCCACTGTCCTCCTCTGACTCATCGGACTCATCATGCTCCTTGCCCTTGGCAGCATCGCTGCTCCTCTCATAAGCCACTACTTTTGCCTGTCTGCGGTTCTTCTGGCGTCTCCAGATCTCCACGATCTCCAGGAGGCTAATGGTCATCAGATCATCACTTCTTCTGGTAGTCCATGTCGTACTCCAGGAGGCTAATGGTCATCAGGTCGCCGAGTCTTGCGTCACACAGGCTCGTCCTCAGCCAGCTCTTGACGGCGTTCTGCCTGCTGAAACCGCGCTCGCATTCGACGGTGCTCAAGGGCAGAACCGCCATCGCCTGCCAGATCTTCATGAGATTCGGATAGCTCTTGGCCCATTCCATCGTCTTCAGCATGTTGGCGAGGCCTTGGCCGAAGTCGTCATCAGCACGGTGCGTCTTCATGATGTGACAGAACGTCTTTAACTCCAGCTCAGTTGCTCGACCATCCACTCCTGTGGAAGCGCTCGGGCGGGATTCGAGACATGGAAAGCGAAAACATCGATTAAGAACCATGGTGGTGTTGCCTCCGTTTAATAAAACATGGATAAGTCTGGTTGAAGCGACGCTTCCTTTCCTAGGCAGACGCAGGAGTTGAGGCAGGAGTTGATGCCGTTGATGTGGACGCAGGAGTTGATGCAGAGACAACAGGTACAACTGAAGGTTCGGCGACAGGACCTTCAGCGTCAACCATAGCCTCTAAATTTCTGTCCCATTCCTCACTACTGAGAGAAGGCAGAGGCTGTGGCTCAACTGGAGCGGTAGCAACTCGACGGAGAAAGTCGAGCCCGCTAAGAGGGAGCGATCTAGGAGTTCGCAGAAGGACAGACTCATCGCCACCGCCATCGTTGGGCTCACTCGTGCCAGCCATGACGGCAGTCGCACGAGTGACGACGGGCGGCAGCGACAGCGAAGGTAAGCGGAGGTTTTCTTCTGCTAGGACGTTGTGAGAGATAGATTTGGTGAAGGGGAGGAAGGGAAGGTTGAACAAGACGAGGGTTTCGTCTGCTCTTCTTGGGGTGAGTGAATTGTGGGGCGCCTCGAAGTGGGTGAGGGAGTGAGGTCGGTCGTGCATGCATGGATGGTGGCTAAGGTCGGCGTGCGGTGGTGAGGGAACTGCTGCCAGCCTTGCAGTGATGCTGCAGTCGTGACTAATCAGCGCGAAGGATGCTGCCAGTGTTAAAGTAAGAACTGAATAATGAACTAGAAGTAGAAACCAAGAACAAATACTAGTTGGTTGTACTCACTAGAAGCATACCCCAGTCTTGCCTATAACTTGTACACAGCTAATATGTATAAGTTGACACACCCCCTAGGCTAGACAAGGGGTGAAGCTAAGCAAGAAGCAAACAGCTCAGGGTGGCACTACTAGTCCAACCACTGAGGCAGGGGTCTGGAGACCAGTCAGCAAGGGTACAAACAAGACTAAAGCAAGCCAGGGCGGCTTGGCGGCGCTGCTGTAGCTCGCGCAGGAGGAAGTACCGCAGCTGGATATGCTTCGCTCTGCCCTCAAGCCGAGGCTCCTGACACAGGAGTATCATGGCCCTGTTGTCAGCGTACAGGACCGGGGCAGAGCTAGGCCGCTCACCTAAGTCTGTGAGCAAGAAGGTCAGCCAGCGGAGCTCCTGTGCCGCCATGGCACCAGCGTAGATCTCAGCCTCACAACTGGACTGAGCCACAGATAACGCGCGAATGGATCTCCAAGAGATAGCACCCGAACCAAGGCTAAAGTAGTAGCCCTGCGACGACCTGAGCGTCTCAGAGTCGTCTGCCCAAGAAGCGTCTGTGTGCCCAATAAGGACCACTGGCCTGCGTCCTCCTAGCACTAACCCATGCCCGATGTACTAGCAAGATAACGCAAAACCCTCTTAGCGGCAGACCAGTGCTGAGGTCGGTGTCTGCCTGTAGCCACAAAGCGAGCCAGTATGCTGAGAGGGTATGCAAGATCTGGGCGAGTGCAAGTCATCAGGTACATGAGGCAACCCACCAGCTCTGCATAGGGGCCACTGGGCTCTACTGGCTCCTCAGGAACGGGAGCAGAGAGCCCATGGTCTACAGGTAGAGGTGTGGGCTATGCGGAGGAGAACTGAAGACCGAACCTTTGAAGGACCTGACGCACCAAGTGTGACTGTGTCAGGGTGATGGTGCGTGCTGCTCTGTCCCTAGAGATCTGCAGGCCAAAATAGTGACGCAGCTCTCCAAGGTCAGTGCAGGTGTGTCTCTTTAGCAGCTCGGCCTTCACAGAGGCCAGTGTGTCCCTGTCAGCAGTAGCGAAGACCAGATCATCTACGTAGACAAGGATGTAGAACGGAGTCTGGCCGGAACGCACAAACAGCGAGGGGTCAGCAGAGGACGGAAAGAACTGCAGGTCTGCTAACGTGGCCCGCAGCGTGTCGTGCCACTCGCGAGGAGCCTAACGCAGGCTGTAGACCGGGCGCCTGAGAAGCCACTGGGTCCCAGGGGGGAAGGTACGAGTGAACGCTGTGGTCGGCGCAGGTAGACCTGCTCGTGTAGGCTGCCCTGAAGAAAGGCAGTAGAGAAGTCGAGGGAGTGAAGCTCGTAGTCGCGCTGTGCTGCTACATTTAGCAGCGCCCGAAGAGTGGTCATCTTCGGGGTCGGGGCGAAGGTCTGGAAGAAGTTAACCCCCTCGCGCTGACTGAAACCTCTGGCAACGTAGCGCGCCTTGAAGACAGGCGGCTCTCCAGGGGGGCGCTTCACCTTGAAGAGCCACCGACCATCGACTACGTTCACCCCAGGCGGGGGAACTGCGTTGACGTAAGTGCCGGTGGACCTCCAAGATGCCATCTCCTGCTCCATGGCAGCTATCCACTGAGAGCCCCAAGGTCCCGAGACCGCCTCAGCGTAGGTGCGAGGGGTCGGGATGTCGAAGGCGTCTGGGTCACCCTCAGGGACTAACAGCATGGAGCAGAGATGGGGAGTAGCCTCGGAAAGGAAAGCAAGCTCGTACTGCCTGTCCTCTAGGACGTCACTGCCAAGGGCAGGAACACCCCCAACGGACGGAGGACGGGCAGGGTCAGAGACCAGAGCGGTAGCGTAGTCAAGGCGCCGAGTAGAGGCAAAGTCAGCGACAGCAGCGACAAGCGCGTCAAGGCGCGAGACAGGAACAGCAGGGTCGGTAACAAGAGAGGCAAGGACCCGAGGGACAAGGGGACGAACATCACGGAGGTAGTCAGAGAACGGAGGAGGTGCAACAGCAAGGAACGAGGGAGGAGGGGACGGGAGGAGGGGAGGACGAGACGAGCGGGAACGGAGCAACATAGGGTGGGAGCGCAGGACAAGAGAGACGGGACGAGCACGGGAGGGACAGCGAGACCAAACGTGAGACGGAGGTGTAGGGTCAGGGGACAGTGGAGGGGACACAGGACAGGGAACGAGGGGGAAGACGGGCCGGAGACGAGTCTGGCGGCGGGAACACAGGACCGTAGACAGGAAGGTCAGCAGGCGGCGGGGGAGACACCGGCACGCGGTCAGGGGAGGGAAGGGCGAGCAGGCGGAGAGCGGAGACCGGCGGCGATGGCTGTTGCGGCTACTGCGACGGCTGGGCCGGAACCCTCGGACCGGTAGAGGCAGGACGACCGTCGGCAGAACACTCAACAGCAGCACCCCCAGAACCAACACCCCCAGAGCGAGAACCCCCTCCAAAACCAGCGGCACCCCCAGGAGCCGCAGGACGAACACCCTCCTCAACGCCAGCACCCCCAGGGACCAAGAGCGGCGGAGGCAGTGGCGGCGACGACAGCTGCGGCGGCGGCAGCGGCGACAGGGCGGCGGCGGCGGCTGCGGCGGGGTCGGCGACTGCGACACTGGAGGCGGAGACACCAGGGAAGGGGGACGCGACAAGGACGGGTCGGGGGTACCACCAGAGTCAGCAGACTCCTCAACGGGGACAACCGACGGGAGGGGAGTGACGTGAGAGACACCAGACGGGGCATGACGACGCGGGAGAGGGGCAGGGGCTACCGGGGGAGAGGGAGCAAGGAACAGGGGGGGGGCAAGCGAGAGACCTCGGTGAGGGAAGCGGCGGTAGAAGGAGACATACTCATCAAAGGTGACGTCACGAGAGTGGAGGAAGCGGTGAGACGACGAGTGGTAGAAAAGCCAGTCAGACGAGTCCAGGGGGAAACCGAGGAAGACACAGGGGACAGTGCGGGCAGTGAGCTTGTCCGTGCCAGAGGCACGAACGTTAGCAAGGCAGCCCCGGACGTGGAACGCAGACGCGTCACCGGGGGACCCGGTCCAAAGGAGGGTCGGCGAAACCTGCGGCCGCTGGGAGCGTGGCCACAGGTTAAGCTGGTGAGCAGCGTAGCGAACAGCGAATGGCCACAGAAAATGGGGGGCATCGGCATGAATCATGGAGGTACGGGCAACCTCTATGACCAAACCAAGCCGATGCGGCGCTCAGCAACCCCATTCTGTTGTGGCGAGTCCGGCAAGGTGTACGACTGGGTGATGCCCTCCGCACGACAGAACTGTCCAAGCCGACCAGAGGCGAACTCGCCGCCACGGTCAAAGTGGAGACACAACACGGGGAGACCGCGCTGAAGACGCGCAGCTACGACCCACGGGAGAAGAACGTCGGGCACGTCGGCCTTCCGCTCCAGGGGAAACACCGTGGTGTAGCGCGTGTAGTCGTCAACGAGCACATGGGAGTAGCGCTCACCTCGCGGTCCAGGTGCAGGGTCTGAAAGGGGGCAGTAGCTGGGCTCAGCGAGGAGGAGTGAGGAGAGCGGCGGAGCCGGCCCTCGACGCACGGCGTGCACGGTGGCGCAGTCGAGGGAGGAAGGGCAGGGAGCGACGCAGGGAGAACTAAGACAAGACCGTGGTGGGACATGTGACGCAGACGTGGGAGTGCAGGGTGACCTAGCGGTGGTGCCAGAGAAGGGAAAGGTGAGTGAGGGACCGACACGAGCAAGCTGCAGCGACCTGGGAGGACGCACCAACCGGGGGGAAGCGGTATCTAGGGTGAACAGACCGGACACCGGGTCCCAGGGGAACGTCGCAAGGGGGGAACCTGAGACAGCCTCGTACAGACATCGAAACGCTCGTGCCCGGGGAACGTGGTGGTGACGCCGAGGTCCTGGAGACAGCCGACACCAACCAGGTTCCTCGAGAACGAGGGAACGTGGAGACCTGTAAGGGAGCCCGAGGGAACTGCTGGACAGGGAAGGGACGTAGAACTGCGAGCGACGACAGGACCCGCAGAGGGGTCAGCGAGAGAGACAACAGCAGGCGTAGCAAGCGGCAGTGAGCGCGGAACGGTCGCGGAAGAAGCAGGCAGAGGCACCGAAGTCGAAAGTGAAGGATAGCGAAGCATCGGCAGAGGCCGGGAAACAGAGGAGGTGCAGAGACTAGGCTAGGCAAACGATGCAGTCCTACGCCTGACGCAGCAGGGGAGCCTGAGCTACACAATGGTGCAACACCTAAACTAGAGTACACAGGGTAATAAGATCCAGTAACACTAGAAGCGTCAGAATACAAGGCATGCAAAGCAACACCTATCTGATCCATGTCTAACTCAAAGATCGGCACGCCCTGGCGGAGCAGGCTGTGCCAGTCGGGGAGGTCCGGGGCCAGGGCCAAAGCGACGACGAAAGAGATCGTCGAGGCGGCGGAAATAGCGGGCGGTCGGGTGCGGGCGGCGGCACAAAGTGCCACGAAGAGGCCCGGTCTGAAGCTGGTACTGGCAAGTGACAGCACCGGAGCCGCCGGTGACACCGAGCTGCGCGGGCCGCCACCACGGCCACTACCTCCGGAGGTGCCGGGCCAACCAGGCGGGAGACCGGCCCAAGGCTGCGGCGGCTGCTGCTGGGGCTGCTCCTGCTGCGGCTGGGGCTGCTGCTCCTGCCCACTAGTGGTAGTCCCCTCAGGCGGACTACCGTTACGACCCACCACCACCTGCGCCACCACCCCTACCTCCCTGGCGACCACGGCCACCGCGGCCGTGAGCGTTGCTGCAGTCCACCCGCAGCAGCCGTCTCGGTGAGAGGGTTCGCCGTGGCGACCGCAGCTGAAACGTCAGTGAACGTGCACTGGGAGGGGGCACAGCCGTGAAAGATAGAGACTGCCGGCGCACCGCTCGACTGAGCGATAGTGCGCTGGCGAGTCTCGATCTCGGTGAGGGTATCGACAAAGGCGGTGAGGGTGAGGTCACCCGGGTGCTGGCTAAGGAAGTGATCGCGAGCACTAGCGAGGCGGTCTGGCAGTCGCATGGCGATAAAATAGAGCGTCATGCAAAAAGGGGGGGGGAGCGCAGTGAGCTGGGCAGCAGTGCTGGCAGTGCGATAGCGGGTCTCTAGGGCACGCAGGTGAGTGGCAAAGTCTGCGACGGTAGGGAAGGCTGCAAGGTCTGGGAACAGTATCGGGAAGAGCAAGCGGCCAGCAGAAGCAGACGCTGGTGTGGAATAGCGAGCAATGACGGCGTCTAAGTAAGCTTTGGCCGTCTCAACAGTAGCAAAATGCGAGCAATCAGACATAGGGAGGGCGTGGCTAATAGCAACCTAAGCGACTGCATCGCGGGAGTCCTAGACCGCACAGGCAAGCGCAGCAGTAGAGAAGGTCTCACGATCATCAGAGGAGGGGTCAGCAGGGAGGGGAGCAGGTGGGGGGGGGCGGGGGAGCAAGCCATCGACATGGACAACCAAAGAGTGGCCATCCGGACGCTGACCTGTAAGGTGGCGGCGGAGATCGGAGAGCCAGGCGGCGAAGTCAACCGCATGGCCCTCGACGTCCAGTCGGAGCACGAAGTCAGCCACCGTGCAGGGTCAGCGACACAGCTCCATAGCTCCGCAGGAACACAGCGACGCAGGGACACGGCGGCGGCACTCTCCAGCACGGCGGCCGCGAGGCGCCCCAGCACCGGCGAGCAGAGTAGATGGAGCCCGAGGTGGCACGGCAGGCCGAGCAGGCACGAAGAGGGGCCGGGCGAGCAGTGGGAGAGGCCAGGCAGATGCGGCGGGCTAGGCCGGCGCGGCAGGGCCAGGCAGGCGCGGCGGGGGCCAGGCAGGCGCGGCGGGGCCAGGCAGGCGCGGGAGCCAGGGAGGCACGGCAGGGCCAGGCAGGTGCGGCAGGGCCAGGCAGGCGCGGACGGGGCCAGGCAGGGCCGCGACGGGGCCAGGCGGGCGTGACGGGGCCAGGCAGGGCCGACGGGGCCTAGCGGGCGCGACGGGGCCCAGGAGGGGCGTGACGGGGCGAGGAGGTGCGACGGGGCCCAGGAGGGGCGCGACGGGGCTAGGAGGCGCGACGGGGCCCAGGGGGGGGCGCGACGGGGCTAGGAGGCACGACGGGGCCCAGGAGGGGCGCGACGGGGCTAGGAGGCGCGACGGGGCCCAGGAGGGGCACGACGAGGCCCAGGAGGGGCGCGACGGGGCTAGGAGGCACGGCAGGGCCCACGAGGGGCGCGACAGGGCTAGGAGGCGCGACGGGGCCCAGGAGGGGCGCGACGGGGCTAGGAGGCGTGACGGGGCTAGGAGGCGCGACGTGGCCCAAGGGGAAGCGGCGGGGCCTAGGTAGGGTACGGGCGGAAGCGGTAGGTGGGGGATTCTAACCTACGCGTGATACCATGTTAAAGTAAGAACTGAATAATGAACTAGAAGTAGAAACCTAGAACAAATACTAGTTGGTTGTACTCACTAGAAGCATACCCCAGTCTAGCCTATAACTTGTACACAGCTAATATGTTTAAGTTGACAGCTAGCAGTGCCAAGGATGGCAGCATATGACGTGCCACTGCCTGGTGGTACGCGTAAAATGACGCGTATTGCGGGATATTGGGGCAAGGCCAGGTACAGGGTACAGGGGAAATCTACAGGTATACCCCCTATATACTAACCCTGAGAGGTGTACAAATGGTTAGTTTGATATAATCAGAGTAAAATAAAACCTCAAGTTTTTTACTCAGGGAACCTAGAGTAGTTTTCAAAAACGACTCTGATTTTCAGAGAAACAGAGTAAATTACTCTGATAAAATAGGCACTGGGTTCTGCCTTCATTGAGGGTAATGGAAATTGCCCAATATAAGTATAAGGGAAATCTCCGTGTACATGGCTAACCATCTACAAGTGTCGCCAAATGGATTACAGTGGGTACATTGTGGAGCAGGGGGGTGATTTGCAGGGGGATTTGCTTTACAAAGGTCCAACCGTCGCCGCTCTCGGGGCGTGCGAAGATCGAACCGAACTGAAACTCGCGTGTCGAAATGCCTTAGGGCGATTCCAGCTCGTACGTTTACAATTCACTTTATACGGTTCAATATGGTTTTCGGAGTTCCAACGTGGTTAAGTGCGAAAACCGCTCCTGATCGCGATAGATCCTACTGAACCGTGATCCGTGTACTGTAAACGTACGCGCTGGACTTGCCCTTAGATTCCTCGCAGGAGGCAGCTTCGAACAGAACCCAAGAGTGTGTCGAAGTTCGATCTTGCTTCTGTTGCACTTCTGGGAGCATTTCGGATTGCACTGTCGGCTCGTGCAACAGAAGCTCCACGTGGCTTGTGTAGCAATTTACTTGCACGCCTGCCATTTTAGGGGTGACACAATAACTACGAAAGGGGTATACGAAAGAGATACCTCGACTGACTGCAGTAGGCAGCAACTCGGATTCGTAGCTCAGGGCCTCACGTGTCATTCTAATGCCAGTAACCAGTAACCACTCACCCTCACCAGAAGCCAGTATCCGTCACGCCACCGACCAGTAACCACGCTCGCTTATTGTCGCAAGTTCTCCCCTGCCGTCGTCGCCACTCGGCGCGCTTCGGACCAAGTAGGCCCTCCACGTTCCTCCGTCGTTCAACGGAGCCGCGTTTCCTCCTCCCGCTCTGCCGTCCGTTACGTTTCGCTTCCCCCACCTCCATCCCTCTCGCCCCTGTGCCCCTTCCCGCGAATAGCGTCGCCTTTTCCACCCGCGCCAATCCGCATCCTCCTCCAACCCCATGCTTTTGAGTCGCCTTAAAACTATACCTCTCCCCTCTCCCCACCGCGCGCAAATCCCTTCCCTCTTGCCCGTCACGGTCTCCCCCGCCCCCCTCCCCCCTCCCCCCCTCTCCCTCCCTCCCTTTCCTCTCCCCCCCTCTCCCCCCCCCCCGCCTTCTCTCTCTGTCTGCCTGTCTCCACCCCGCCGCGCACCTCCTTGCCGTTCTCTTTTCCCACATTCCCCGTGTCTCCCCGTTCCCACTCAGCTCCGCTACAGCCTACTGTCGGCTGGGTACTGCTACAGTCTTCCAGTAGGGCTGCAAGAGGAGCGTCGCTCTGCCTTTGCTGCGATGGCGTCCAAGAGTGATTCTTCGATGTGAGTGCCGTGGCTTCCTCACTCTCTCTCTCTCTCTCTCTCTCTCTCTCGCTCTCCCCCTCCTCCCCCTCCCCCTCCCCCCTCTCACCATCTCCTCTTCCTCTCACGCTCTCGGAGCTGTTTGGATCCGATCTGAGTCTCTATTAACCTGAAGTTACAGCAAGAAGAGCCGCCCACGTCTGTTGAAGACCTGCTTGAAAGTATCGGCTGCACAGGCCTTTCCACTCTCCAAAGTTCCACGCCCATTGTTCCTCTTTCCCCCCCCGTTCTCTCTTCCCCCCATTTGACTCCCCCCCCCCCCAATCTCGATTCGCACTCCTCACAGCAGCCCATCGTCCCAGCAGCACCGCCCTCCCACGGGCATCGAGATCCTCTTTGCCCAGCGCCTCTCCTCCTCTGCTGCCGCTGCTCCCTCCTCTGCTGCTGCCGCTCCCACCACTGCTTCTGCTCCCTCTGCTGCCGCCGCTCCCTCCACAGTTCCTGTCAACAGTGGGCCCTCAGCCGCTCCGTCCACAGCTCCTGCCAAGAATCCGCAGGGAGTCGTTTCCGTTTCTGCTGTTTCCATAGCCCCTGTCAAGAGCTCGTTAAAGCCACCGTCTGCCACTGCCTCCTCTGCCCCTGCCAAGGACTCGGTAAAGGATTCCCCTGCCGCTCCTGCCACAGCTCTTGCCAAGAGTGCCTCTAGAAGCTCCTCTGCTGCTCCTCCCATTGCCCCCATTCCCATCAAGAGCTCGTTAAAAGCACCCTCTGCTGCTCCTTCCCCCGCTACTGCAAAGAGTGCATTGGGAGCCCCCTCTGTTCCCTCCCGTGCTCTGAAACCCTCGTTTAGAGAACCCTTTGCTACTCCCTCTCCGGCCCTTGTCAAGAGCTCGATAAAAGCACCCTCTGTTGCTCCCTCCACTGCTCCTGCTAAGAGCGCCCTAGAAAGGTGGCGGATTGAAGGGGGCAGTGCGGGCGCGGGGAAGGGCGATGGTGGCGGGGCAGGCGGGGGGCGGTGGAGAGAGGGTGGTGGTGGGCAGGTGCGGGGTAAGGGTGTTGCTGGGGCTGGAGGCAAGGGCACGGGGAGAGATGGAGTGAGTGGCGGCACGGGGCGTGGGAAGTGTGGGAAGGCTGGCAGCAGGCTGGCTGCAGAAAGAGGGGGAGTGGGTAGTGAGGAAGCAGTGAGTGGAGGGAAGGGAGACAGGGGAGCGGCAAGGGTCGATGGTAGGAAGGGTGGCGTAGGGAGTCGGTGGAGCGAGGCTGCTCAACAGGCGAAGAGCGTTTGGGGCGTGGGGGATGGGATGGGTGTGAAAGCTGGTGGGAAGGTAGCTGTGAGAGGGGGAGTGGGCAGTGCGGAGGCGGTGAGTGGAGGGAAGAGTGAGAATGCAGCAGCCAGAGCTGATGGCGGTGGGGGTGCCGCGGGGGCGCAGCGGAGAGAGGCTGCTGACACTGGGAGAATCGCTGGGGTGCCTGGCGCTGTTCTGAAGAGTGCTGGGGCTGCTGGGGCTGCTGGGTATGTGAAGAGTGTGGGGCATGGGAAGGGTGCCGCTGGGGCTGTTAGTAAGATATGTTCGGGGGCAGGTGGAGTGGGCAGGAAGATGGGCGTTGCTCCTAGAGAGCCGATCAGAGGGAATGCTGCAGCAGGAAGCAGATGGGCATCAGCCACAGGGGGCAAACTGGATGCAAGAAAGACGGGAGGGGGCAAATTGGGAGAGGGCAAGTTGGTTTCAACCATGGGCAGCAAGTGGGGAGGCAGCAGATTGGGAGGGAGCAAAGAAGCGACCAGGACAGGCGCAAGTGATATTGGAGCGAAGAAAATGCCTGAAAGCACGGTGGTGAAAAATAGGGGTTATTCCAGACTGGTCAAAGTTGGAGCTTTGAGGGCGAAAGCGTTGGAGGGGAGTGAGAAGGGGAGTGATGGTGCGAGTAAGGACTGGAGATTTGGGGAGAGTGAGAAAGGGAGGGATGGCGCAAGGGATAGAAGGAGAGATAACGAGAGAGGCATTGAGACTGAGAAAAGGAGAGACAGTGAGAGTGAGAAAGGTGGTGACGGTGAAAGGGATAAAGAGAGAGGAGACGAGAGAGGCGTTGAGACTGAGAAAAGGATAGAGGATGAGAGTGGCACCAGGATAGACGGTGAGAGTGAGAAAGGGAGGGACAAAGAGTGTGCGGAATTAAGGGGCGGGGACAGGGGGGAAGGAGGGGATGATGAGACTGGGAGTAGTATGGATGCCGAGGGGGCGAAAGGGAGAGGCAATGCCGGTTCAATGTCGAAGCCTGGAAGGAACGGCGATATAGGGGCCAGGCAGCAGCTGTCGTTGCGGGAGAACTGGGGCAGCGGGGAGGGCGGATGGGGAAAAGGGGGAGAGGAGGAGGAGCATTGGAATGAGGAAGAGGAGGATGTGGAGAAGGAGCAGGTCCAAAGGGAGATAGAGGAGCACGAGGAAGAGGCGGAGAAGGGATGCCGAGGGAGGGAAGGGGGAAAGGAGGTAGAAGCAGGGTGGGAGAAGGAGGGTGGCAGTGCTGACGTGAGTTCAAGCCAGGAAGGTGTTGCAGCTCAACTGCTGATGAAGGGTGGGGACGAGGCGAGGGGGGAAGAGGATAATGTTACGCGGCTCGCAAAAGAGGACAGTTTACGCACTCCATGGATGGTTGATGATGAGGCGACGGAGGTAGCTCCCAAGAGAGACGAGGAGGAAGAGGAGGAGAGAAGGATTGAGGAAAACGTGAAGAGAGAAGTAGAGGTAGAGGCGAAGAGAAGGGAAGAGGAAGAGGAGGAGATAGGGGAAGAGGAAGAAGAGGAGAGAGGGGAAGAGGAAGAGGAGAGAAGGGAAGAGGAAAAAGAGGAGAGAAGGGAAGAGGAAAAAGAGAAGAGGGAGGAAGAGGAAGAGGAGAAGAGAAGGGAAGGGGAAGAGGAGATGAGAAGGGAAGAAGAAGATAGAGGGGAAGAGGAAGAGATGAGATGGGAAGAGGAAGAAGAAAAGAGAGGGGAAGGGGAAGAGGAGAAGCAAGGGGGAAAGACAGAGATGAAGAAAAGGGAAGAGGAACAGGAGAAGAGGAGGGAGGAGGAAGAGAAGAAGAGTAGGGAAGAGGAAGAGGAGAAGATAACAGAAGACATAGAGAAGAATGGAGGGAGCGAGGAAAAGGATAAGAGAAGGGAAAGGCTATTGGAGAAGGGAAAGCAACAGGAAGAGAAGGAATTGGAAAAGGAGGAGGAGAAGAGGAGTGGGGAAGTGGAGGAGGAGAGGAAGGTAGAGGAAGCAGAGAGCAGCGAAGAGGAAGAGAGCGCTGATCGGAGAGAGCGGGATAGAAGAAGAGGGGTTAAATGGAAAACCCAGGAAAGGGAGCCATGTTTAGAAGAAGCCTTGCAGCCAGGGGAAGAATTGCTGTGCATGAATGATGGGCAAAAGACAAAGCCACACTGTGCCCCAGGGAAGGCTGAGAAGCATCTTACCCAGGTAAGCACCACATTTGTTTCGGTAAGCGTGCCCACACCTGAAACACCCATCGAGGTGACTTTTGAGTCGACTCAAAAGTCACCTCGTTTCGGTAAGCGTGCCCACACCTGAAGCACCCATCGACCCTGGGGTGGGTCGAGCCTTCCCAACTATCCTTCTCTCAGGAAGGCCCTTCTGTTCTGGTAGATCATTCTCAGGGAATATCGCTTCCTCCACTCACTTCCCAGTTCTCTTTCCTCAGCTTGCCTTTGTTGCTAAAGCATTTGAATGGCCTTTCCACGTGTGCCCCTTGTCCACGTGGCAGGACATGGTTGGCAGCTTCCGACCAGCCAAGAGGCGAGTGCTGGGATTCCGCTCTCGGCAGGAGAGTGGGCAGGAGAAGAGCATTCACAGTGCATCGATGCGGCATCTCGCAAGCAGAGAGCAGCATGGCATGTGCACATCGCAGCATGGCGCATGCACCATGCAGTATGACATGGATGAGGTGGATACCACATGGCTTACTGCCTACAACAGCACCCTCACACATCCCCATGTCGCTGCTCAGCCGGCAGTGGACGGGGAAGGGGCAGGGAAGCAGGCGAATGGGGAGGGATTGCAGGGCCAGCAGCCTGCAGTGAAGCGGAACAGGCAGGATGGGCAGCAAGGGCAGGCACAGGTGGAAGGGGCAGAAGGGCATACATTACCGGATGGGTTGGTGGCCAGGGAGGTGTTACTTGAGAAAGGGCATATGCTGGGCTGCAAGGGGAGAGGTGGGAGTGGGAGGTTAGGGAGTGTGGCATGTTTGTCAGAGGAGGCGTTTGAAGGCTGCATGACTTTCCTGGATATGCACCCTGCTGCCGCTGCTGCTGCTCACGATGCTGCTCGTGCTGCTGCTGCTGCTGACGATGATGATGATGGTGGTGCTGCAGATGTAGATGCTGGCTCTGCTGGTGCTGCGGGTGCCAAGGTGCATGGAGGCTTAAAATCAGAAGGAGATGAGGAAACACTAAGAGCGGAGGAGGCAGAGGCAGGGCGTCATGGTGCAGGGACACTGCGATGCGACGTGTGCTTCCAGCCGGGGGAGACGCCTTACAACCCGGTCAGTAAGCGCAGCATACAGCATGCTTCCCTTATGGTGCTGGGGAAGGGCTCCATGGTGCAGAGACACGTTGCGTTGCGATGCGATTTGTACTTTCAACAAGGGAGACGCCTTACAGCCTTGTGAGTGCCACACCGTACCGCATGTTTAGGGGGTCACTGACGGCAACAGCTTGCAAATTCATGCAATCACTTGCGGCTGTGTGTGTGGTTCTCCTTTCACCTCCGCTCATTATCTCGTCTCAAACCACATTTTCTCACCCCCATCCCTCCCCACACGAATTAGTTCCTCTGCTGCTCTCTCAGTGCCACAGCCGGCTATCAGCTCGGCTAAGGCGCCATGGGCTCTCCTCTCATCCCCCGTCGTCCTCACTTCCCTTTCATCTTCGCCCCCCGCCCCCTGGATCATTTCCTCTGCTGCTCGCTCTGCACCACTCTCGTCGCCCACCAGCTGTGCTACGGCACCGTGTGCCGCCCCCCTCACTGGGGCTGTCCCTCATCCATTCTTGCCCCCAACACACCTCCCTCCTTCCCCCTTCCCTCTTTCACTTCCTCTGCTGCTCTCTCGGAGCCACTCTCGTCCACCAGCTGTGCTACGGTACCGTGGGCCTCCCCCACCTCTGGGCCTTGCTAGTATCTCAACAGATGTTCATTTTTCCCCAAACCATCCCCCCCCTCCCCCCATCAGTTGCTCTGCTGCGCGCTTTGCTCCACAGCCGTCCACCAGCTCTGCTATGGCGCCGTGGGCCTTCCTCCCCTCTGGGCAGTGCGCTCCGCCCTCCTCTCCCCCTCCCCGCACGCCCCTCCCCTTCCCTCACTCCTCGCGCTGACCAACCAGGGGAGGGGCGGGGGGCAGCGGGGAGCCAGGCAGTGGGGAGGCACGCAGAGGCTGGACGTGGGGGGGGCGCTGCTGGGGGGGCGTTGCTGGGGGGGGATTGCTGGGGGGGCCGTTGCTGGTGGAGCCATGCAGCCGAGCAAGCAGGCAGTGGCGAGCCGGTTCAAGTGGCGCTGTGTGCCGTGCCACCTGTACGCGCGAGCATGCAGCACTTCTCACACGCCGTGCTCCCAGCGGCCTCCCCTCCTCACGTGAGTATGCAAGCAGGGAACTGTCCATCGCTTCAAGTGGCGCTGCATGCGTGTGCCGTGCCACTTGTCTGTACGCCACAGCATGCAGCAGCACTGCTGCTGTTGGCAAGCCATGCTCCCAGCGTCCTCCCCTCCTCACGTGAGTGTGCCAGCAGTCATGAAGGCGCTACAACTGGCGGTTCACAAGAATCAGATCGTCCGTCACACATGTTGCCCCATCTGCTGCCACTCACCCCGTTCGTTCCCCACTCCGCTTCCATCTGCCCCGCCTGGTCCCCTCCCCATCCCCACAGCCCTCTGCCTTGTGCCGCCTGGTGGGAGGCGCTGCGATAAAGCCCTTGCCTCTAGGGTCATATAGGGCCGACCCCCTGACACATGATTCCCTGCCTTCTTACCCTGAACCCCACACTCCCCCGCCCCCCCTCTCTTCCTCCCTTCTGCTGTTCTCTCCGCAGCTGTGCCTTGTGCCGTGTGGTGGGAGGCGGTGCATTCAAGCCCTGCTCTGACGGCCCCCTGCCGGCCACCGCAGAGGAGCGTCATGGGGAAGCAGAGGGGCGTCCTGAGAGAGCAGAGGAGCGGCTTGAGAGGACACAGGGGCGCATAGTGAGACCAGAGGGACGTGGCGAGGCAGCAGAGGGAGCAGGGATCCCTGGGGAGGGGTGTGGGGCCATCGGTGCAGAAGGAAATGATTCTGCTTGTGCGGATTCGAGGCAGGGTTTGGTTGAAGAAAAAGGGGCAGAGCGCAGGCAGGATGGATATGAGGTGCGCGAGGGGGGTAGACTGCAAGGGAAGAGGGGGGAGAGGAGAGATCTGGCAGAAAGCACCGCTGTGAGAGCTCTGGGGAGGGGAGGGCGTGAGGGTGGAAAGGAAGGGGGTGCTAGAGTCCGGAATGGTGGGTTGCCTCGAGAAACAAGGTGTCAGGTGGGATTTGGGAGAGGCCGGTCTGTGGGTGTGGGGGGGGCGAAACAGAGGTACGCGGATGGTGGTGATAGGGGCAGGCAGGGGGAGGCGAGAGGGGGAATGCGGGTAGAGGGGGACACGCAGCAGCATAAGGGGAGGGCGGACCAGCAGAGGAGGAGGAGGAGAAGGTTTGCTGGCAGGAGCAGCGGCAGTGGGAGTGACCGAGAGAGTACCAGTGAAAGTGGGAGTGATAGTGGGTGTGCGAGCAGCAGCAGCAGCAGCAGTGGGAGTAGCAGCAGTGATACATCAACCAATGACTCGGCCGGTAGCCAGAGCAGCAGCGACGCGAGCAGTGAGCCAAGTAGGGGAGAAGGAGACAAAGGCAAGAGAGGCAGGAGGCGAATGCATGTGAGGGGGAGGAGCCGGCAGGAGGGTGGAACTTGTGCTGGCCACAATGGTGGAGATGCCAATGCAGAGGGGTCTACAGTGGACGGCAGGATGAGGATGGAAGGGAGAATGGGGGCACATGGAACGCAGCACCTGCCTAGTTCAGCGGCAAAAGGAGCAATCTTCATTGGGTTGGTCGGTGGTAGCAAGACGGCAGAGGGAGGGGGGAGGAGTGGTAGGGGAAGAGACGGCGGCTCTGTGAGGGGAGGTGGCGAGAGGAGCACAGGGAATGGGGAGCAAGCTGCTGGGCTTGAAAAGGGCACGAGGATTCCTCTGCAAGAGACACGAGCTGCTCAAGTGGATTCTGGTGGCAGGAGTGGCTATGGAAGGAGCGCTAAGGCAGGCATGTGTGACGATGCGAAGGACGTGCGGCAATTGGAGAAGGCCATGCCAGCTGCCCTGAGGCACGTGCGCTGGGTGCATGTGGCGTGCGCTCTCTTCGACTGCCATGTGTTCTTCGGCAGTGCGGAGTTCCTCCAACCCATCATGTGAGCCCCTCCAACCTATGTTGGCATAAACGCGTTTCCGCGTTTTTGCGTTTCGTTCTGAACGCTTGCGTTCAGGACGCAAAACGCAGGATTCCAGGCTTCAAATACGCTCGAAAAACGCCTGCCCGGGCAGGCGGGAAATTTGGCCCGGGCAGGGGACGCCATGCTAGGGGCTCGAAGTCAGGTAGCTTAGGTGCTGGAAGGAAGAACGTAAGAGTGCTAGATCGTCAATGCATGTAAGGTGAGCGAATTTCTCCTCTACAGATAGATCTGGATCAAGCGGGGGGGGAATGGGTTGGGATTTTCAACACGTTGGGAAAAGGAAGGGAGGGATTGATGAGTTATCGTGTCGCTATGAAAAGTTTCGCGACTGCACGACGACGAATTTGCGACGCGCGAAACGTGTTGGCGTTTCGCGACGCGCGGCGAAATGTGTTTTCGATTCGCGACTTTGTGGATTTTTTTTGCGTTTTTTTGTTCCGGGCAGCCCAAAAAATTCCAAGGTGCGTTCGAGCGTTTTGATGCGTTTTTGCGTATTGCGTTTAAACGATTGCGTTTAAACGCAAAACGCAAACTCACAAAAGCGTTTTTGTCAACACTGCCTCCAACTAGACATGGTCATATCGCATCGCATTTTGCGATGGCGATTTTTTTTTTTTTTTTTTTAACAATTATCGCGGCGATGCGATGCGATTATATCACGCGATTCTTGCAATATCGCGTTTATATCACACTTTTTTTGGCGCGATAAAATGCGATTCGCGATATTAAAAAAATCGCCCGCGATATTTGGAGCTCGCCATTTTTTGTTTGCTGTTTATTTATTAGAACCGATGTTGTAATGGTGTGTTGTGCCCCTGTTTGAAACCCTTCGGCAGTTCCCAGTTATCTAACTATCCAAATTGCTGCTGTAGTTTACATTGCCCTGAAATTTAGCCCTGGTGATGCGATACTTTATCGCATCGCGCGATATATCGCACTCTACAGCGCGATATTTAAAAATATCGCACCCAAAACGCGATATGCGATTTTGTTTTTTTTCAAAAATATATCGCGGCGATGCGTGCGCGATAAGTCAAAATGCGATGCGACATCGCATCGCATCGCATTTTGACCATGTCTACCTCTCCAACCCATCATGTGAGTCCCTCCAACCCATCATGTGAGCCCCTCCAACCCATCATGTGTGTCCCTCCAACCCATCATGTGAGTTCCTCCAACCCATCATATGTGTCCCTCCAACCCATCATGTGTGTCCCTCCAACCCATCATGTGAGCCCTCCAACCCATTATGTGAGTCCCTCCAACCCATCATGTGAGTCCCTCCAACCCATCATGTGAGTCCCTCCAACCCATCATGTGAGTCCCTCCAACCCATCATGTGAGTCCCTCCAACCCATCATGTGAGTCCCTCCAACCCATCATGTGAGTCCCTCCAACCCATCATGTGAGTCCCTCCAACCCATCATGTGTGTCCCTCTTTACCACTCCTCCTGTAGTCTTCTTCCCTCTCTACCTACGTTTATCTCCATCCCTCTCTACCTACGTTTATCTCCATCCCTCTCCACTCCTCCTTTCTCACCCTCCCTCGCCCTTTCTCCTCTCTCTTTCCTCCCCCACACTCTCTCTCTTCTGCACACAGGGGTGTGACAGCTGCTGCAAAGAGGAGGGCGGACAGCAGGCAGTTGGCAGCAGCAGCAGCAGCAGCAGCAGCAGCAGCGTTAGCCATGGAGCGCTGCACCTTCTGCCATCAGCCGGACGGCCCGCTTGACCTGCTTCCGTGCGCTTACCCTCTCTGCGCCATGTGCTTCCATGTCCGCTGTGGCCTGCTGCATGGCTGCTCCGCCATTGTAAGTCTGTGGCCCGTGGAGCTGCTTGCCGCCAGCGAAGCTTGTTGAGTTGACCCTACGCCCTCCGGCTTTCACTGCTCTCTGCAGCACTATCCGTTTCCACCTTCACTGCAGCCTGCTGCTGCATGCTGCGGCTTTGAGGTGCCTCAAAACGTTCACTGCAGCCTGCTGCTGCATGCTGCTGCATGCTGCAGCTGAGGTTCACAGCTACGTTGCTCAAACCTGAGCCATGCCACGGCATCCCCTATTCCCCTTCTCTCCACCTTTTCCACCCTCGGGTACGAGAAATCTGCTTATACCACACCCAGCAGACCAGGCTACTGCCTTCTGTCGCTCACACACAGCAGCTGGGCTCGAGCCTGAGGGGACACGTGCACAGGATGAGACTCTCTTCCCACTCACCCCATTTGCTTCCTCTATTCCTCCCTCCCTCTCACTCCCCCTTCCCTCTCCCTCAGGTGCGAGAGACCGACCTGTACAACCACCAGGTGATGGCCTTCTGCCCCTCGCACGCTGCAGATGTGCTTTGAGCCGCCTGAAATGCAACGTCCCAGTCCTCTCATCCCCCTCCTCCCTCCCCATCCCTGCTCCCTCAGGTGCGAGAGACCGACCTGTACCAGCGCCAGGTGTCGGCCTTCTGCCCCTCACACGCTGCAGCTGTGCAGGGGGGCGAGGGGGACCCCTATCCCTCACATGGGCATCCCCCCGCAGAGGAACCGCAGGGTTGTAAGGAGGCGCCATTTTCAGATGTACATGATGGTGTAGGGGCTGGGTCCAAGGCAGGGGTAGCTCCTTGCAGCATGGTGCTGGATGGAGTGAGGGAGTCAGAGGCGGAGGTCGAGTGGGAGCAGAAGCATCCAGGGGGGGTGAGGGAGCACATGCAGGCGGTGAGTGAGCATTGGAGGAAGCGAAGGGCTGCAAATGGAGGCATGCCCTCACTGCTGCATCTCGCGCATGTGAGTCAAACTGTGCACTATGGTTATGAGTGGGAGATATCTCTGGCCTCTCCCGTGCAGCTTTATGTTTAGAGAGTTTGACCCCTCTCTGTGTGAAGCTGGGAGTTTGACACCTTAAAGCACACTTGAAGCTTCGATGCCTCTCTTGATTCTGGAAACTCCTGGGAGATTCGCTCGACTAGCCATTCCCATCCAACTATCTTGTTAGCTTCACCTTCATCACGAATTCTTCTTTTTACTTTCCCAATCCCCTTGCCCCCCGGCTCTCCTTACCCCATCGCCACATCAGGCGTGGACGCAACATCGCCCACTCCCTTTTAGTGTGCTTCTCGACCCTTCTTCCCGCACCCATCAGGCCCGCATGGAGCACGTAGAGGCAGCTCAGCTGAAGCCATCAATGGATCTCCACGAAAACGCCCCTCCTCCTTCCACCCTCCCCAGTCCTTTTGCTGCTGCTGTCGCCGACGCTGCTGCTGCAGCTACCACTGTTGCTGCCACTGCTGCTGCTTCATGGGAGAAGGTAGACCTCTGTGCACATGCAGAGGATCAGGCAGGCCAACTGATCGATGGGAGGGAGAGTAGTGGGTGGGTGTGTGACGACAGAGGTATGGGCATTGATGGTAGAGACATGGGCAGTGACATGGCAAGGCAGCGAGAGCAGTGGCAGCAGGTGGTGGGAGAACAGGGGCTCAGAGCAAGCAGGGGAAGAGGTAGGAGTCCTGGTGCCGATGGTGGTGGTGGTGATGGTGTTGGTGATGGTGGTGACAGTGTGAATGGTGATCAGGATGCATGGGGCCCATGGGATATGCACCAGAGGCAAGAGACAGAGGAATGTGGTGAGAGGACGAGAAAGGGTGGTGAGAGGAAGCGAGGGAGTGGTGGGGTGAAGAGAGAGAGTGGTGAGGCATGGGAGCAGTGTGTCACAGTGAAGGACGAGAGTGGCGCAGAGCCGCCTGCCTCGCGTCCTGCAACTCCCACCATGTCACCACCCCCACCCCCACCACCTCTCCCGTCAGCAGCACTGCTTCCATCAGCGGAGACTCCGGTCGCTGCAACACCACCCGCACCAGCAGCAGCAGCGGCGGCAGCGGCAGCAGCGCCAGCGGCGGTGGCGGCGGCGGCGGGTACTGGTGAGGGCAGAGCGGGGTGTGTTTGGTGTGGGGGGCAGGGCGCGGCAGTGCAGTGCGTGGGGTGCCAGCAGCGCTTCTGCTACCAGTGCTTCAAGCGCCGCAAGGGCTTTGGCGTCAAGGGCTGGACCACAGCGCTCCGACAGCCGTCGTACACGTGCCCTGGGTGCTTGAGTGGGGAGACACACGCACATGCGGACATGCATGGAGATGTGGGCGTGTATGCACGTGTAGCAGCGGTTTCTGGTGCGGTTACAGGTGCAGGTAGGGGTGTGCACTATAGGGAGGACAAGGGAGGAAAGGGAGTGGGGGGAGAGAAGGGAGGTTAGAGGTGGGGGTTGATGGTGGGGGGTTGGAGGAAGGTGGGAGGTGGAAGAAGCTAGAGAAAGTGATGCAGGGAGAAGGGGAAGCTGAGAGGGTGGTTGGCCGTGGTGGCAAGGTGCAGGGGAGAGGAGGTGTGAAGCGAGGAAGGAAGGAAGTCAAGGAGGGGGGAGAGTGGCGATTGGGTTGGGCGGAGGATGAGGAGGCAGAGGAGAAAGACGAGGAGGAGGAAGAAGAGGAAGAGGAGGAGGAAGAAGAAGGGGAGGAGGAAGCGGAAGAGGAGGAGAAGGAGGAGGAGGAGGAGGAGGTGGAGGAAGAAGAAGAAGAGGAAGAGGAGGGGAGGAGGGGAGGGAGAGACATCGACTTTGAGGAGGAGTTAGGGGTGCGCCTGTTTGGCAGGGGTGCGGGAAGGAGGGCGGGGGAGCAGATGAGGACGACCAAGGAGATGGAGAGAGGAAGGAGCCGGCATGACTTGGAGCGAGGCAGGCAAGAGGGTGGAAGGGTTGGTGGCCGGCTGGCAGGCGTGCCATGTACTGCTAGGGATGACGAATCAAAGGGGCCGAGATTGGGAGCAAGGGGCAGGGGAAGAAGTGAAAGATGTGGGCGCAGAGGAAGGAATTTGTGGGAAGCAACCGAGTGGCGGAGTGAGAGGGGCAGAGCGTGGGAGGAGGAGGAGGAGGATGTGCGTGGGCAGGACAAAGAGTATAACGAGTGTGAAGGGGCAGTGGAGGGGGGGCGTGATGTGGAGGGGGATGAGGAGAGGGATGAGGAGAGTGCAAGGGAGGAGGAGGAGGGGGAGAGAGGCATGTGGCAGGGGGATTGGGTGCATGTGGTGGTGGGAGGGGAGATGGCGGAAAGACTGCTCCAGAAGGAGACAGTGCACGTGGGTGCTGTGATCAGGGGGGATGTGGATGTAGTGAGCACTGAGAGTGTGGATATGAAGATGGAGACACCGCGAGAAGAGGAGGCAGACGATAATGGTAAGGGGAAAGCGAGGAGGAGGAGGACGAGGAGGAGGAGGAGGACGAGGAGGAGGAAGAGGAGGAAGAGGAGGAAGAGGAGGACGAGGAGGAGGAGGATGAGGAGGAGGAGGAGGTCGAAGAGGAGGACGGTTACTCTGAAAAAGTGGAGCAAGAGACCGTGGGAGGCATGGGGGAGGAAGTAGGAGCAGAGGCAGAGGGGCAGGAGGTGGAAGGAGTAGGTACGGAATTAGAGGGCGAGGAGGAGGGAGAGGGGGAGGAGGAGGGGGAGGAGGGGGAGGAGGGGGAGGAGGTGTGGAAGCAGGAGTTGTGGAGTGAGCTGGACAGAATGGTCGCTGCTGTCTCCACCCACGTGGGTGGTTCCGCAGGGGAGGTAGATGTGGGGGAGGTGGATACTGGGGAGGTGGATGCGGGGGAGGTAGGTGTGATGGAGGTTGAAGGGCCCCAGGGGCTGGGTAGGGGTGGAGAGGTGGGCGCCATGCCGTGGGGCGATGCACATGGCATGGCAGATGACCATTTGTACAAGGGGGCACATGGGAGCATGCCTGCGTTGCCTGTGTATGAGAGGATTGTGGGGGATGAGGGCGGAGTGGGGATGAGGGCGGAGGGGGAGGAAGGCAGGGCGGGGGAGGGGGGGAAGTATGAGGCAGGAGAGTCAAGAGGACGGATGGGGGGAGTGGCTCTGGGTGGTGGAGCGGGAGGAGAGCGTGGGAGTGTGACAGCAGCAGAAGACGAGGGTCAGGGTCCGTGTGGTCCCTGTGGCTGGGGTGATGAATATGGGGGCGATAGCCATGGGGTCACGGCAGGGGAAGGGGCTGGAGGGCTGCTCACAGCAGAGGGTGGGGGCACGGGGCTGCTGGAATGGAGGGCCGAGGAGCAGGGGAGCGACATGTGGAGGAGTGGGAATCAGGAGCATGGCTCGTGGGGGGCAGATGGGGGGCAGAGGGTGGTGGCGATGGTGGCGATGGTGGCGATGGTGGGGATGGTGGCGATGGTGGCGATGGTGGGTGGTGGAGCCGCATGTTTCCTGACTCCCCACTAGCCACTCACGAGCAACACGACTCCCTTAACGTGCGCTCACCTCTGCAAGCACATGTCTCAAGCCAGTCTCCCTCACTCCCAGCCCGAAACGCCCCAAATTCTCATTCTCCTCCTCCTCTTCCTGCCATCGCTTCCCCTAGTGCAACTCCTTCCTCTCCTGCAACCCCTTCTCCTCCTATACCCCCTTCCCCTCCTATACCCCCTTCACGTTCTGTAGCCCCACCCCCTGCTGCGCCCCCTTCCCCTGCTCCAGCTGCCATGTCATCTCCCCCCCACACAACCAAAAGCATCCCGCCACCTCCCTCCTACACAATCCCTCTCATCGCGCCTTCTTCCTCCCACGCAACCCCGCCCATCTCACCATCTCCCTCCCCTGTGCCGTGCTCCCTCCCGCCTCCTCACTCCCCCAACTCGCCCACTGCTGTGCGTCTCCCTCTGCCTCCTCCTCCTGTGCCCCTCGCCGTGCCCCTGTCTCCTATGCCCCTGGCTCTGCCTTCGCCTGCTGCTTTTGGCGGGGGCAGTGCTGGCATGGAGGGGCGACAAGAGGCGCGCAAGTATGGAGGGGAGGGGGTAGATTTTGAGACGTCCGACAGAGATCCTCCTGTAAGAATAAATGGGGGCGGGACTGGTCCAGAGGGGCGAGGAGAGGGGCCCAAGGATGGAGGGGAGGGGGTAGACCTTGAGACCTCTCAAAGTGGTCCTCCTGTAATTGGTGGGGGTGGGAGTGGTGCAGAGGGCACAGGGGAGGGACGCAAGGAGAAAGGAGATGGGGGAATGGGAGTGGATGTAGGGAAGGGGACGGCTGGAAGGGAAGGGTTGGATGCAGGGGAGGTCGGTGGAAGCTGGAGTAAGCGGCAGAGGGTGGAGGTGGGGTGTGGACAGGTGCCAATGCGGTTCAGAGCGGTGGAGGTGGGCTGCAGTGATGCTGTAAAAGAAGTAGTTGTGGAAGGGGCAGAGGCAGGTGCTGATAGGGGCGTTGCCGTGCAGAAGGAGGGGGGTAGTGCAGGTGGTGGGACGGAGGGGAGGAGTGGGGTGGGGAGGGAGAAGGAGGGGGGTGATGGAGGTGGTGGAAAGGAGGGTGGTGTAGGGAGTAGTGGGGTGGGGAGTGGGGAGGAGGGGGGTGGGGTGGAGCCTTTGAGGCGTGTGTCTGGGTTGAGGGGGGAAGATTTGGTAGAAGGTGGTGCAGGTGGAGTGGTGGGAGTGGGAAGCAGTGGAGCAGCAGCAGAGCAGCGGGGCTTGGTGGAAGGTGGCAATGGTGGCACGGTGGGGAGCAATGGGGGCATGGTGGGGCAAAGCAACACCAACACGAGTGAGGGGCTCAGCTCTGGTGAGACTATGAGGGCAGGCGGGGCTAGGCTCATGGCAGGGACAAGGGGCAAAGGCCTGCGCAGAACGAGCAGCAGTGGCAGCAGCAGTGACGGTAGTGATAGTAGTGATAGCAGCGACAGCACTAGTGGCAGCAGTAGCAGCAGTGTCAGCAGCAGCAGCGAAGAGACTACCAGCAGCAGCAGCAGCAGCGGCGGCAGCAGCAGGAGCAGCATGAGTGAGGGAAGGCCGGCTGCTGCTTTTCTTGCTTCTGGCGGGAGCAGGGGGGGGGAGGAGCAAGGGCAGCGTGCAGGAAGGATGGGGGTTGGGAAGGGGACGAGAGGAGCAGGAGCGGTGGAGGGAAGGGTGCACGGGGGGACGTGGGGAACAGCAGAGGTGGGATGAGAGTGCATGGGCAGGGAGGGAGAGCAGATGGCGAAGGGGATAGGCATGCAGCTGTGCGGGGGAGGATGGGGGGGCTGAGGGACGAGATAGATGGGAGCGATGTGAGGAGAGCACACGAGGAAAAGGGGGGGAGGAGTGCGGAAGGAGGGAGGAGTTGGAGGAAGGTTGATGGCGGTCAGAGGGCTCGGGAGAGTGGGGTTAGTGGTAGCAGAGGAGGGAGGGGTGGGGGGGATGAGGGGTGCAGATGTGAGCTCGCAGGGGGAGGAGGGACAGAAAGTCTTAGTGAGATGAGGAGGGGGGAAAGGGAGGTGCAAAGGGCGAGGGAGAGAGAGGAAGAGAGGGCTGGACGTGAAGTTGGGTCACTTGGGAAGAGGAGGAGGGATGAGAGTGGAGATGGGCGGGAGAGAGGGGCAGATAGGCGGGGAAGGAGTGCAAATGGGAAAGAGAGGAGTGCAGATCGGCGAGAGTGGAGTGGAGCTGGGCGGGAGAGGAGCGGGACGGGCGAGAGGGGGGTGGGGATGCAAAGTGGAAGGAGGGAAGAATGCAGCATGGGGTGGGCAAAGGCGTGGGCCGTGTGGGGGGAGGTGTGGGGAATGAGTTGAAAGAGAAAGCACATGAGAGAAATGAAAAGAGGCATGAGGGGGAAGGCAAGGGGCATGTGAACCTTGGTGTGGAGCAAAGGGGGAGTGAGGATGGTGCAAGGGTAGGTGGAGCGGAACGTTTAGGCGCAAAGGGAGAGGAGGATCGCAAGGGGAGGGATGAAAGGGGTAGGGGGGTGAGAAGAGAAGATGAGAAGGGAAGGCGGTTGAGTAGAGAAGATGAGAAGATGAGGGGATTGAGGAGACGGGATTTGAAACGGGATTGGGAGACGACGGGGAACAGAGGGAAAAGGCCAGAAGAGGGAGGTTTGGGTCAAAGTGGAGAAGAGAGGGAGAGGGGAAGAGGAGACGATGGAGTGAAAGATAGAGAATGGAACAAGAGAAAGCGCTCAGAGCACAGGGGCAGGGACGGGGGCAGGGATAGGGACAGGAGGGTTGAAAGGAGGAGGGAAAGGGAAGATGGACGGACAAGAGAGAGGGAAGGCAGAGAGGCAAGGGATCTAGGGAGGGTGAGAAAGGGGGCAGGTAGGATGGATAGGGACAGGGCAGATGGAAGGATGAGAGGGAGGGATGGTGATAAGAATCGGAAGAGAGGGAATGAAGGTAGTAGAGATGACAAAACTTTGTGCGAAAAGGATGCAAAGGGGCGGGAACAGGACGATGTCTTGGCAAGGGAGAGGGGGATTACAGTCGGGAAGGGGAGAGACGATGAAAGGCGTGAATCGCACATGCAACGGGAGGAGAGGAGCTGGAGGCATGAAAAGAAGGGCTCAGACAACCGTGATGGGGGGCTGAGTGGGAGGGAGAAGGGAGCTTCAGGCTCAAGAGTAGCGGCACCAGGTGCAGTGGAGCAGGACAGTGTGAGAAGGCGTGGGGAGGGCGAGAGGAGCAATAGCTGTGGGAGCGGGGCGGAGCGGAAGCTGACGTTCAGACGGCAAGAGGGGGACCTGCTTGAACTGAAGAAAGAGGGTCAGCAGAGCAAGCAGGAGGGGCGGACACTTGAATCTTCTGATGCGCCTCAAAGGGCACATACTAAGTCGAGGCGAGAGGAGGGGAAGAAGCCGACCATGGGAGGGCAGGAAGGCCTTGGCGGTTCAGAGCGAGGTGGTGTGGGGAAAGGAAGCAGCGTGGAGCGTCGTGGTTCTAGGAAGGAGGGGCACTCTGTGCGGCACGAGCAACCTCAGAAGACATTCAGAGCTGCGCGTAGCTAGAGAATGGTCTTTGCAAGCTACGGAAGCTGCTCCATTCTCATAAGTAAATTAGAGGATCTCCGCCGTAATGGTCACAATTCTCATGTCAAAGTCAAATCTTGTTCCCTTCTCATTGTGTCTGCATGTGGGTTTATTATGTCACAAGACTAGCTTAGCTAGGAAGCCATAAAATGGCATGAGGTTTAGCTAGGAGCTAGGAGGAGCCATGGAAATGGCGAGAGGTTTTAGGTGCTAGGAAAGTTGAGGAGAGAAAAGAGAACTAGAAAGGAAGAGAGGGATACAAGGAGGGGTGTTGTACCCTCTACAGTAATGTTCAGTAACATCTACCAAGCCTACACTTATATAAACGCATACTGCTGGCAGTGGCAGCTGCATTGGATATGGAGCTGATGCAGTTGGATGTGAAGAACGCATTTCTTCACGTCGTGCTGGACAGAGATCTCTACATGGAACAACCCAAGTATTACGAGGATGGGACTCCTCGTGTCTGCAAGCTGCTGAAGAGCCTGTACGGACTCAAGCAGAGCCCAATGCTCTGGTATGAGGCCTTGGATGGGGTGTTTCTTGGGGCTGGATGGTGCAAGAGCCAAGTGGATGAGGCTCTTTACTTCAAGAGCAATGATGGAGGGTGAGATGTGCTGGCTGCTTGTGTATGCGGATGACCTTCTGGCGGCCAGCTGCAGTACGGACCTACTGGGGGAGTTGCGTGAGCTGCTGCAGGGCGCATTTCAGCTGAGAGAGATTAACCCCATCGAGAAATACTTGGAAGGAGCTGGAACGGTGCCTGACCTACTTGGTGGGGACCAAGGATGCAACCTTGGAATTCAGTGGGGGTCCGGCGTCCTTGGAGCTGATAGGGTATGCAGACGCTGATGATGCAAGAGACAAGCAAAACCGAAGCAGCACAGGAGGTTACGTCTTTGTGTTTGGCAGTGCTGCAGTTGCTTGGGCGAGTCAGAGGATTCGTTGTCTCACTCTCTCCTCTACTGAGTCTGAGTATATTGCGGCAGTTGAAGCAGGGAAGGAGGCTCGCAGACTGCGCTTCCTTCTGGCAGAGTTTCAGTTGCTCAAGTGTGAGGAGCCAACAACATTCTTTGTCGATAATTCGTCTGCGATTGCTGTGGCAGGTGGCATGCGGCTCAAGGGGAGCCTCAAGCACATGGAGTGGGGTCACATGTGGCTGCAGCACATGGTCAAGCGCAGGAAGCTGGATCTGCAGTACATCCCTACCAGCGAGCAACCTGCTGACTATCTCACTAAAGCATTACATTTCCCAGCCTTTTCCCGTTGCTTTGATATAGTGGGACAAGTGAGGACACATGCGATGGCTTTCTCTTCAAGCCCTTTCCGTATTCTGCGCTGTGGTGCTAGTCCAAGGAAGCAGATGAAGAGCATGAGGCGTGGAAGGAAGGAGAATGGCTGGGGTGAGTACGACGAACGAGCATTGGCAGCATTCCGTGACTATGAGCGTATCTGTGCATACGCTTCTGGCTCTTCGTAGGTTTCTGCTTGTGATGGTGCCATGGCCTATCCATGGCTAGTGCAGTGTGTGTTTCAGATGAAGAAACATTGCAAGCGTACTGTTGATGCATAGGACCCTTGCGTGTGTGCTATGTGTTCCTTTTGGCTTGTATGCTTGTATGTGTGTGCCCTTTGATTATAAAGGGCCTTGCTGTAGTAGTGCAGGGGAGTGTTGGAAGCCCTACTGCAGCTGCGGGCAGCCAGGCGTTGACCGACTTATGTCGGTGCACCGATTGCCTGGCAGCTGCGGGTTGGCATGACCAAGATGCATGGACTGATCCTTGCTACCGGAGACTAAGTCTAGTCTGTGTGGACTGGTCCGGAGATGCCCACGACGACCAGTGACTCTGACGACGAGTCTTGAGTAGTCGTAGCTATAGCGATGGACTTCCGTGCGGACCAAGGCAGCGTTTGCCTTGCTGGTTGGAGTTGCGTACACGGCAAACCCAACCTTGCTGAGTTGGGTTGGGGAATTGGGCGAGGCGCGTTCGCCCATCCCTTTGGCAAATTCGGGGTGGTTGGTTACACCCGCAGCGCCACACAACTTTTGTTGGGTTTGCACTTGCCTATATATTTGCATGCTCCTTTGTACTCTGGTCCGGTGCGCTCCCAAAGGGATGGCTCTGGTCCGGTGCGCTCCCAAAGGGATGGCTCTAGTCCGGTGCGCTCCCAAAGGGATGGCTCTGGTACGTGGAACATGGGTTGCGCAATCCATGGAAGTTGCGCAACCCATCCGGGTTACACAGCTCACCAAACCTCGCATAGTCAATTCGCGACGACGGTGAGTGGGTTGCGCAACCCACCGTGTTTTGTGCATATGCATGAAACCGCAACCTGAGTTGCGCAACACATATGGGTGCTATGCTGCCTGGTCCAAAAATAATGGCTGCACGAATCCAACTGGGGATGCGCCACAAAGAAGCATGCCACATACTTCGCCAAACCCCGGTGGTGGGTTCCGTTGCGCGAAAGGTGTTGTTTTGGCAAAATTGTTGTATGGTGTTGTTGGTGTATCGCAGGATGCTTGTGCAAAATTTCTGATTTGGAAGCGCAAGCCGATGTACCATCCCGGTTGTGGAACCCTCGGCAGTTGCGCAACCCGATGTTCCAGCATCGAATTGCATGACTTTCGTGAGAAGCGCAATCCGGGTTGCGCTTCTGTGGATTGCGCAACCCATGTTCCACGCCCTTAGTCCTTCAGTTGGCAGTGATGGTACAAAGGTGTTCACCTCTGCAGTCAGCTACCTGTATACTTCGGATTGGAGTACAATTTTACAACCATATACCCTCAAACACATTACTTGTGCACACACCCAACCAAAGTCACATGCATTACCACTGATAGTGTTTCTTGGTTGGCAATGTTTGTGCATTACAGAAGCCTGAAATCATTTACACACCATGAACAGCATTCCAAGTGTCAAACATGTGTATTTGTCATGTTTTGTATAGACTGTATAGGGTCGCCTCTTAGAGAGTACAACACTTAGGTATATCTTTTGTGTACTCTCACTCTATCTAATATTCAATTTTCAAGTTTGATATGGTATTACGCGTAGGTAGGATCCCCCCCCCCCCACCTATCGCTTCCGCTCACCCCTCACTGGGCCCCGTCGCGCCCCTCCCATGACCCCTGGCGCCCCTCCTGGGCTTCGTAGCGCCCCTCCCAGGCCCCGTCGCGCCCCTCCCAGGCCCCGTCGCGCTCCTCCCAGGCCCCGTAGCGCCCCTCCTGGGTCCCGTAGCGCCCCTCCTGGGCCTCGTCGCGCTCCTCCCAGGCCCCGTCGCGCCCCTCCCAGGCTCCGTAGCGTCCCTAACTGGGCCCCGTCGCGCCCCTCCTGGGCCCCGTAGCGCCCCTCCTGGGCCCCGTCGCGCCCTCCCTGGGCCCTGTAGCGCCCCTCCTGGGCCCCGTCGCACCCCTCCCAGGCCCCGTCGCGCCCCTCCTAGGCCCTTAGCGCCCCTCCTGGGCCCCGTTGCGCCCCTCCTGGGCCCCTGTAGCGCCCCTCCTGGGCCCCCGTCGTGCCCCTCCTGGGCCCGTAGCGCCCTCCTGGGCCGCGTCGTACCCCCCCCCTGGTCCCGTCGCCCCTGCCCGACCCCGTCGCAGCCGCCCGGCCCTGTCGCGCCCGCCCGGCGCCGTCGCACCCGCCCGGCCCCGTCGCAGCCGCCTGGCCCCGTCGCACCCTGCCTGGCCCCGTCGCAGCCGCCCGGCCCCGTCGCACCCGCCCGGCCCCGTCGCACCCTGCCCGGCCCCGTCGCAGCCGCACGGCCCCGTCGCACCAGCCCGGCCGCCGTCCCGCTCGCCCGGCCCCGTCGCACCGGCCCGGCCCTGCCGCACCCGCCCGGCGCCGTCGCCCCAGCCCGGCCCCGTCGCGCCCGCTCGGCCCCGTCGCCCGTCCCGGCCTGTCGCACCAGCCCGGCCCCGTCGCGCCCGCCGGCCCCGTCGGGCCAGCTCCGGCCCCGTCCTCCTCACTGGTACGGTTCCCCCCCCACCCCGCCCTGCTCCGTGCCGCCTCGCATCACACTGTACTGCCTGGCACCGCACTACACCGCACTGCACCGCACTGCACCGCACTGCATCGCACTGCACCGCACTGTACCGCACTGCACCGCACTGCACCGCACTGCATCGCACTGCACCGCACTGTACCGCACTGCACCTCACTGCACCGCACTGCATCGCACCGCACTGCACCGCACTGCACCGCACTGTACCGACTGCACCGCACTGTACCGCACTGCATCTAGCTCCACTGCCCTGCACCGCACTGGACTGTTCCTGATGGCGGCGGAGCTTCGCTTCGACGCTGAAGGTCAGCCCCTAGAGTTCGAGGCGTGGCTTGCCGACCTCCGCCGCCAACTCACTGGCCAGCGGCAGGATGGTGAACCGCTTTCCGCACACCTTGACGGTACGCTCCCCTGCCCAGACCCCTGCTATTCTGCCCGCTGACCCCACACCCACTGAGCGTGAGTCTACTGCTGCCACTGCCCGTGCGCGCTCTGTCTGGCTTTCTCGCGATGCTGTCGCCCAGCTTGCCATTAGCAACGCCCTCCCCCGTCCGAGCGTCCTCGCTTTAGGTCCCTCACTACTGCTCAGGCATACTTAGATGCTGTCATCAAGCGCTATTCCACCCCTCCGGCTGCCTCGGTGGGTCGCCTGATCCTCCCGATGCTCTTTCCTGACCTTGCTCTTTCCCCACTGTCTCTGACCTCGCTGCCCACCTGCGCTCGATAGAGGAGACCTGGCGCGCCGCCTGCACTGACGCACAGCTTAGAGCCCACCAGCCGCCCATTACCTCTACCCTCTACCTGCTTGCCACCCGCCTCCCTGACCGCCTTGCTGTCGCCCGCGACCGCTTCCTTAGCATTCACCCCGCAGACCTCACCCTCACTGACTTTGTAGACACCCTGACTGTGATAGAGACCCGTCACCGCTCCATCGCCCAGGCGAGCGGTGTCGTGCCGGTCCCTATCTTTCAGGGTTGTGCCCCCGCCAGTGTACCTTCTCCGACGGCTCTGCGCAGTGGCTGAGACTGCTGCTGCAGCGCAGTTTCGTTCGGGGAAGGGCCGCCGCCCCAAGGTTGGGCGCGGCGGAGGCGGCGGCGGGGGTGCGGGAGGGGTAGTGGGGTCGGGTCGTCTGGTGCTGGAGCGGACGAGGGGACCCTGCCCAGTCCAGCTGAGCCGCCGCCCCTGCAGTTGCAGCAGCCGCAGCAGCCGCCGCAGTCGCAGCCTTCGCAGCAGCCGTCGCAGACGCGGCAGACGAGTGTCCTCCCGCCCGGGTGGCCCGGCGCTGGCGGTGGCCGGCGCGTGGTGGTGTGCGAGTGGTGCTCTGGCGGCGGCGTTCAGTACCAGATCCAGACCGGTCCTCGCCGCGGCTTCGTTTGCGGTAAGATCGGTCACTCCACTCCCCGCTGTTTTCGTCGCCTGGACGACCTCTTTCGTCAGCGCTTCGGCCCGTCGCCAGACCTCCCGGACTGGCACAGTTTGCTTAGTCGTAGATTCAGATTTTTGATGGACATGGATGCCATTGTTTTGCTCTGCATGTGATGTATGCTGATGACTCTAGTGTGCTTCCAGCTTATTACTCACTGTTGCCTAGTGTAGGTGTGCCTAGTTAGCCTCCCCTGCTGCGTCAGGCGTAGGATCCCTGCTTTGTGTAGTCTTGGTGCTTCCGCCGTCGTTCCGTCGCCAGACGCCTCTGCTTCGCTTTCCTTCACCTTGGACTCTGGCGCTTCTCGGTGTTTCTTCCGCGACTCCACCACCCTGACGCCGCTTCCTGTTCCTGCTGCCGTTTCTCTTGCTGACCCCTCCGGCGGTCCGGTAGTCGCCCGCAGTTCCACCACCCTTCCCTGTCCGGCGGTTCCTTCGGGCTCTCTTACAGGTCTGCATATCCCCTCGTTCTCCAGGAACCTAGTTGGTGTCGGCTGCCTCCAGGACCTTGGCGTCACCACTACGTTCCCTGGTCACGAGCGGTATGCTGTCTGTACCGAGGCCGCCACTGGTGCCCCCCTGTCCACGTTCCCCCGGGACCCGGTGTCCGGCCTGTTCACTCTGGACACCGTGACCCCCCCGGCTGGAGCGCTCACAGGTTGCTGCTGCTGCTCCTGTCGTCCCTCACTCACCCGACCCTCCTTTGGCACCACCGCCTAGGTCACCCTGCGCTCCCGCGTCTGCGTCACATGTCCCAGCACGGTCTTGTCCTTGGTCTCCCAGGTTCTCTCCCCGCGTTTCCCTCCTCCCCAGCCCACCTTGCACGCCTTGTGTCGAGGGTCGGCTTCGCCGTGCCCCTCACTCCTCCTCGTTTCCCCCTACCGCCGCGCCGCTGCAGACCCTGCACCTGGACGTCTGGGGCCCCGCCCCCGTCCCTGGGCCGCGTCGCGAGCGCTACTTCCTTGTGCTTGTCGACGACTTCACTCGTTACACCACAGTCTTTCCCCTGGAGCGCAAGGCCGACGTGCCTGGCGCTCTCATCCCCTGGCTTGTCTCTGCGCGTGTCCACCGCGGTCTCCCTGTCTTGCGTCTTCACTCAGACCGTGGTGGCGAGTTTGCCTCAGGTGTCCTTGGTCGCTTTTGTCGTGCGGAGGGCATCACCCAGACGTTCACCCTACCGGACTCCCCACAGCAGAATGGGGTCGCTGAGCGACGCATCGGTTTGGTCATGGAGGTGGCTCGCACCTCCATGATCCATGCCGGTGCACCCCATTTTCTGTGGCCGTTCGCTGTGCGCTACGCTTCTCACCAGCTTAACTGTGGCCGCACCCTCAGCAGCCGCAGGTTTCGCCGACCCGTCTTTGGACTGGGTCTCCTGGTGACGCGTCTGCGTTCCACGTCTGGGGCTGCCTTGCTCACGTCCGTGCCTCCGGCACGGACAAGCTCACTGCCCGCACCCTTCCCTGCGTCTTCCTCGTTTTCCCTTGACGCGTCCGACTGGCACTTTTACCACCCGCCGTCTCACCCGCTTCTTTCACTCTCGTGACGTCACCTTTGACGAGTCCGTCCCCTACTACCGTCGCTTCCCCCACCGTGGTCCCCCGTTTACCCCCCCCCTGTTCCTGGCCACCCTTCCCCGGTAGTCCCTGCCCTCCTCCACCTCCTCCCGTCCCACCCCTCTGGTGTGTCCCACGTCACCCCCTTCCGTCGGTGGACCGGTTGAGGAGTCTTCTGACTCTGGTGGCCCTCCTGTGCAGTCCTCCCCGGCTGCCCCTCCCCGGTGTCCCCTCCCCAGTCCCCTCCTCCACCGCCTCTGCCGTCTGCAGCCGTCGTTGTCGCGCCGCCGCCGCCACTGCCCGCCACTGCCGCGCCGTCGCAGCACCCGTTCGCTGACTCTGGGGTGCTCGTCCCGGTAGCCTGGGGGTGTCCCTCTGGGGTGCTGGTGTGGAGAGTGCCGGTGGTAGCCGAGGAGCAGCTTGCGGTCCCGGTGTCGCCGTTGTGCCGCCGCAGCAGCAGTCCCGCCGGTGTCAGCCCTTCGCCTGCTCGGCCTTCCGTCCCCCGACCCTCCGTCGGTTCCTCCCCGCCGTCTCCTCCTCTTCCTGTCTACGGCCCTGTCTTCCCTCCGCCGGACTCGTCCCCGGCCCGTCTCCCCCCTCGTTCCCCTCCTGTGTCCCCTCCTCTGTCTCCTGACCCGACTCCTCCGTCGCACGTCTGGTCTCACCGTCCCTCCCGTGCTCGTCCTGCCTCGCTGTCTTGCGCTCTCACCCTATGTTGCTTCGTTCCCACGCGTCTCGTCCTCCCCCTTCTGCCGTCGCCTCCTCCGTCCTCCCTTGTTGTTGCACCCCCCCCGCTGTCTGACTACCTTCGTGCCGCTCGTCCCCTTGTTCCTCGGGTCCTTGCCTCTCTCGTTACCGACCCGTCTGTTCCGGCCTCGTGCCTTGACGCTCTTGTCGCTGCTGTCGCTGACTTCGCCTCTACCCGCCGCCTTGACTACGCCTCCGCTCTGGTCTCTGACCCTGCCTGTCCTCCGTCTGTCGGGGGTGCTCCTGCCCTTGGCAGTGACGTCCTGGAAGACCGCCAGTTCGAGCTTGCTTTCCTGTCCGAGGCTGCTCCCCATCTCTGTTCCATGCTGCTAGTCCCTGAGGGTGACCCAGACGCTTTCGACATCCCGACCCCTCGCACTTACGCTGAGGCGACTTCGGGACCCTGGGCCTCGCAGTGGATAGCTGCCATGGAGCAAGAGATGGCATCTTGGAGATCCACCGGCACCTTCGTCGACGCAGTTCCCCCACCTGGGGTGAACGTAGTCGATGGTCGCTGGCTCTTCAAGGTGAAGCGCCCTCCTGGAGAGCCGCCTGTCTTCAAGGCGCACTATGTGGCTAGAGGCTTCAGTCAGCGCGAGGGGTGGACTTCTTTCAGACCTTCGCTCCGACCCCGAAGATGACTACTCTTCGGGTTCTGTTACACCTAGCTGCTCAGCGTGACTACGAGCTTCACTCCCTCGACTTCTCCACTGCCTTCCTTCAGGGCAGCCTACACGAGCAGGTCTACCTGCGGCGCCCTCAGGGCTTCACTGGCACCTTCCCTCCTGGGACCCAGTGGCTCCTGCGGCGCCCCGTCTACGGCCTGCGCCAGGCTTCCCGTGAGTGGCACGACACTCTCCGTGCTACGCTTGCTGACCTGCAGTTCTTTCCGTCTTCCGCAGACCCTTCACTCTTCGTTCGTGCTGGCCAGACTTCGTTCTACATCCTTGTTTACGTCGACGACCTGGTCTTTGCCACAGCTGACAGGGACGCACTGGCCTCCGTGAAGGCAGATCTGCTGAAGAGACACACCTGCACTGACCTTGGAGAACTGCGCCGTTACCTTGGCTTGCAGATCTCCAGGGACAGAGCTGCGCGCACCATCACCCTGACTCAGTCACACTTGGTGCGCCAGGTCCTTCAGAGGTTCAGCCTTCAGTTCTCCTCTGCACAGCCCACCCCTCTGCCTGTAGACCACAGACTCTCCGCTCCAGTGTCTGAGGAGTTGGTAGAGCCCAGCGGCCCCTACGCAGAGCTGGTGGGTTGCCTCATGTACCTGATGACTTGCACTCGCCCAGATCTCGCATACCCTCTCAGCATCCTGGCTCGCTTTGTGGCCACAGGCAGACACCGACCGCAACACTGGTCTGCTGCTAAGAGGGTTTTGCGTTATCTTGCTAGTACATCGGGCATGGGGTTAGTGCTAGGAGGACGCAGGCCAGTGGTCCTTACTGGACACACAGACGCTTCGTGGGCAGACGACGCTGAGACACTCAGGTCTACCCAGGGCTACTGCTTCAGCCTTGGCTCAGGTGCCGTCTCGTGGAGAGCTACCCGCTCCTCGTCTGTTGCGCAGTCCAGCTGTGAGGCCGAGATCTACGCTGGTGCCATGGCGGCACAGGAGCTCCGCTGGCTGACCTTTTTGCTCACTGACTTAGGTGAGCAGCCTAGCTCTGCCCCGGTCCTGTTTGCTGACAACAGGGCCATGATCCTCCTGTGTCAGGAGCCTCGACTCGAGGGCAGAGCGAAGCACATTCAGCTGCGGTACTTCCTCTTGCGTAAGCTACAGCAGCGACGTCAGGCTCGCGTAGTACACTTGGCCTCAGGTGCCAACACGGCTGATATCTTTACGAAGGCGCTTGCGCCTAAAGATCATCAGCGGCACTGTGTACAGCTTGGTCTAGTTCCTGTAGCCTCTCACTTGCTAGGACCTTGACTTTGTACTGTCCTTTATACGTATACTCAGACTGGACTTGTGTCCTCTCGCAGTGGCTGGACTAGTAGTGCCGCCCTGCCCTTGTTCTTGCCTTGTTTGTACTCCTTCTGACTGGTCTCTCAGACCCTTGTCTCAGAGGTTGGACTAGTAGTGCCGCCCTGAGCTGTTTGTTTAGGACATTCCCTATGCAGTCTAGGGGGTGTCAAACATGTGTATTTGTCATGTTTTGTATAGACTGTATAGGGTCGCCTCTTAGAGAGTACAACACTTAGGTATATCTTTGTGTACTCTCACTCTATCTAATATTCAATTTTCAAGTTTGATACCAAGGTCTTACAATGTCTATAATACAAAGGGAAAACACCCAAATTCCAAGCTAATGTAGGTACATAATGCAATAAAAACCACGAGAGGCCACTTGTCCAGTACAGGTACACCCGGGTGCTGCCTGCCTTGACACCAGATTCACAGGCTAGAGTGGTGCAGAAGTGGGTGGAGGCAACGTAGGCATTGATACCAAATTCAGAGCATACATAATGTACACCAATGCAAGGCTCGCCTTGAACAGCTTTCAGTTGTATCAATCCCAGAGCCTAGAGCGGGGCAGGGGTGCTGGCAATGGCCTCTCGCTTGCTGGTGAGCTGCACGTCAAACGAGACCAGAGTATTGGTGCTCTACTGCTGATGAAACTCCGCTGCTATCGCATTCGTGCCCTGCTGCTCCCACCCCCAACACAGGCTGCTGTCTTGACACCAAATCCACAGTTTAGAGCGGGGAAGGGGTGCAGGCAATGGCCTCTCTCTTGCTGGTGAGCTGCACATCAAAGGTCACCAGAGTATTGGTGCTCTTCTGCTGGTGCACCTCCACTGCTATCACATTCGCGCCCTGCTGCACCCACCCCCCAGACAGCACCGACGGCACCCAGCGCCACACGTAGCCGCCTGTGGCAGTGGTGGTGGGGGTGATGGGGCCCCACCACGCAGGTTGCATTTGGAAGCGGTATGCCTCGACACCATTAAGATACACCACCTGAGAGGGGTGATTGGGTTACGGACAACAGTGAGAAAAGGCAATGCAGTGCATGCCGCACGTGATGGTGGGGGTGATGGGGCCCCACCACGCTGGCTACACCTGAAAGCGATAAGCCTCGACACCATTGAGATACACCACCAGAGAGGGGGGATTGGGAAACGGACAACAGTGAGCAACAGCAACGCACGGCGCGATACACAAGCCCCCAGTGGTAAAAAAGGGGATCAGGGTCGTTCCTTCCTAGGCGGAGGGGATTGGGAAACGGAAAACAGTGAGAAAAGGCAATGCAGTGCATGCCACACATAGCCGCCAGTGGAAGTGGTGGTGGGGGTGATGGGCCCCACCACGCCGGCTGCATCTGAAAGCGATAAGCCTCGACACCATTGATGCACACCACTTGAGAGGGGATTGGGAAACGGACAACAGTAAGCAACAGCAATGCATGGAGCGATACACAAGCCCCCAGTGGTAAAGAGGGGATCAGGGTCGTTCGTTCCTGGACGGAATTGGTAACTGTAGCTGGTTTGGCAGAAACATACTACACAGGTGGGGGAAAAAAAAATTGTCTGAACCCGGAATCGAACCGGAGACCTCCAGTGTGTGAGACTGGCGTGATAACCGACTACACCATCCAGACATGCTAAGTGATGAATCTAAAAAATCCCGACCTTTAGATCAAGAGGACAGCACTTAGCACAGGAACACTGATGGAAGAATTCACAGTGCTATCAGCAGCATTGAGAGAAACAGTGAGGGCCACGTAGCAGGCAGCACACATGTGAACTCAACAGGAGGGACATGCGGAGCACAGAGCACAGATACTCACAGCGCCGTCAGCGATGTCGAGGGAGACAGTGATGGCCACGTTGCAAGCAGCATAAGAGACGGTGAAGGTGTGCAGAGGTGAGAGCACAACTAGGAAAGAGCACAGATGAGAGAAGAACTCACAGCGCCATCTGCCATGTTGAGGCAGACGGTGAGGGCCACGTGGCAGGTGGCGTCACACGTGTGAGCACGCCAGGAGGGCGCACATGAGAGCAGAGCATTGATGAGCGCACAAATGGGAGCACAGAGCACAGATACTCACAGCGCCGTCGGCAATATTCAGGGAGACAGTGAGGGCCACGTTGCAGGCAGCGTCAGATACGGCAAAGGTGCGGCGGAAATAGTAGGCCACACGGGGAGGGGTGCTGGGGCGCTGAGGCCGCTGCCCAGGGTGAGATTGGTGGCTGCCCTGCTGTTCCCAGCAGCAATGGGGGGTGGCGCCTGGTTTGGCAGGGGAAGGAGGAGAGCGACAAGACTGAGGGCGCTGAACAGAGTCAGGTTGGCGGTTGCCCTGTTGGGAGAGAGAGTGGGAGGGAAGGAGGGAGGGAAAGAGGGAGGGAAAGAGGGAGGGAAAGAGGGAGGGAAAGAGGGAGGGAAAGAGGGAGGGAAAGAGGGAGGGAAAGAGGGAGGAGTCACACAGTTGAGGGTGCTGCCCACCGTCAGGTTGGTGGCTGCCCTGCTGCAGGGCCACCTTCAACCCATGCGGGCGCCACCTTTGAGCCAGGCAGAGTCATCGAAGGAGGGAAGGTACTAGGAGTCAGGGGGAGTTACAGGCAGGGAGAGGTGGCAACAGCACCAGAAGAGCTAACTGCCCTTCGTCAGCACTCTGAACGGCCTTGGTCATACCTTTGAGCCATGCGGGTCTCACCTTTGAGCCAGGCAGAGTCATCGAAGGACGGCAGGTACCAGGAGTCAGGGGGAGGTGCAGGCAGGGAGGCGTCGTTGTAGGCCCACGAGGACCCTTGCTGTTGTCACCAATGGAGGGTAACAGAGGGCAACGGAGATTGAGAAAAACAGGGAAACAGAGAGCGAGTCAGAATAGATAGGCCGTGGTGCAGGCAGCCAGCGTCGTTGTAGGTCCATGTGGGCCCTAGCTCTTGGCACAGAATACGGGAGGGGAGGGGAAAGTGGATAGTGGGGGACTGGAATAGAAGTGCGCTGCAGCAGGCACAGGCAGTGAGGCATCGTTGTAGGCCCATGTGGACCCTTGCTGTGGGCAAAGAACACAGGTAAAAGGATTGGAAGGGAGAGTGGGAAAACGAGCAGGTGTTGCGGGCAGGAGAGTGTGGGAAGGTGAATGTCAGATGATCCCATCTGTCTGCCTCACCGCAGGCAGCAGAGTGTCGGAAGGAGTGGTGCAGAGGCAGGCGCGACAGGAAAAGCATGGCCCTTGACAAGAGTGGATGCCATGTGCCACACAACTTGCGCATGGCAATCAGTCTCCACCGCGAGCAGCAGAGGTCAGTAGGCGGCGTGCGGACGCAAGCCATAGAAAGAGCCAGAGAGAGTGGCGCATGGCTGCATGGCGTGAGATGTGAGCTCGAGGTACGTAGCACATTGCTGTTCCTCCTAATGTTCCTCTTACCGCGAGCAGCAGGGTGTCAGCAGGGGGCGTGCGGACACAGGCAGGTGGAGAGCCAGGCAGCGCGGAGCAGGGGCTGCATGGCGTGGCGGGTGAGCTCGAGGTCCATGACAGCATCGCTGGACCACCGTGATTGGTGCAGCTGCACTGCCAACCAGTTGGTGCCAGGCTGGTGAAGCCAGGGGGAGGACAGGATACAGAGTGGGAAGGAACAAGTGTGAGGCAGCCCGAAGAATGAATGGTGCAGCAGCACCACCACCCAGTTGGCATGAGAGGAGGGTAGAAACTAGATTCCTACACAAGCAAGGACATACCAGGGGAGGTGTTACCCAGGAGGGAGGTGTTACCCAGGAGAGGTGATATCTGCAGGAAATGCCCTACCGATCTGAAGGCAGTGCTGTTGAAGAAGCAGGAAAAGGAGGAGCTACGACCTAGAGAAGGTCCTATCCAGGGCGGTACTACCTGGAGGAATAACGTTACCTGTAGAAACTGGGCGAGCGATCTGAAGGCAGTGCTGTTGTAGAAGGTGGTCTTCTCTGGCCCCCACGTGCCCGCAGCAGCGAAGGAGGAGGCGGTGATGGGGGCCAGCCGGCATGTTTGGTGCGGAAGAACTCGGCACCGTTCATCAGCAGCAGCGCCCCGTCGTCCCGCTGTATGGATGCAGCTGTGATGGGTACAACGGGGGGGCGAGAGGGAGCAGCGGCAGCAGGCATAGAGAAGTCGTTGGTGAGGTGGCCACCAGGCAAGTTGGATCTGAAGAACTCTTGCCGTTCAGTGCGAGTAGAGCCCTGTCGCCCCTCTGGATGGATGCAGCTGTTTAAGGGGTGCAAAAACCAGAGGTGGGAATGAAGGGGTGCAAGCATAGTGGCCTGAGAGCTGGTTGCAGGTGGTGCTGTGTCAGGCAGCATGTTGGACGCGAGAGTATGTGTTGCCGTTCTTGAGGAGTAGAGCACCGCTGTCATGCTGCTGGATGGATGCAACAAATGTTCGAGGTGGGGTAGGGAATCCGCACAGTAGCTCCAGTCCAGGTGTTGTTGACCAGCTCTAGAGGAAAAAATACAGTAACCACAGCAACACGGAAGAGAGGTGTAGCAGAGAGTGCAGGAGAGGTTAAGGGAGGAGGGGAAGCTCCAGGTGATTTTGACCTCCTCTTCGGTGAGAGAGGAGCGTTAGAGGAAGAAGTAGAGTCCGCACGGCAACAAGGCATAGAGGTGTAAAGAGAATAAGAGAGAAGGGAAACGCACAGGTGTTGTTGACGTCCTCCTCTGTGAGAGAGAAGCTCTTGAGGAAGAAGTAGGATCAGCACAAAACGAGTAGATACAGAGGTGCAGCGGAGAAATGAGAAGGAAAGGGAGGGCAACTCACAGTAGCTCCAGGTGTTGTTGACCTCGTCCTCCTCTGTGAGAGGGAAGCTCTTGAGGAAAAACTAGGCGGAGTCAGCATGGCAGCAAGAAGTATAGAGGTGTGAAGAGAATAAGAGGGAAGGGAAACGCACAGTAGCTCCAGGTGTTGTTGACGTCCTCCTCTGTGAGCAGGGAAGCTCTTGAGGAAAAACTAGGCGGAGTCAGCATGGCAGCAAGAAGTATACAGGTGTGAAGAGAATAAGAGGGAAGGGAAACGCACAGTAGCTCCAGGTGTTGTTGACGTCCTCCTCTGTAAGAGGGAAGCTCTTGAGGAAGAAGTAGGCACTGTCGCCACTGGCGAGCTGCGAGAGGTTGGTGGCTGCAGCTGATGCTGTGTTGAACCCGAACGGTGCCGCTCCCTCCTTGGCAGGCGAGCTGGCACGTTGCTGGTAGGGGTCAAAAGGGGAGGGGAGGAAGCAGGCAGAGGCACCAGTAGCAAGCTGCGAGGTGTTGTTCTGGGGAGAGCAGGAGCAGGGGAAAAGCAGCCCATCCAGCAGCGCCCTTGGCAAAAGTTGTGAGCGGCACAGAGAGGGGGCTTTTGAGGCAGGCACTGTATACCATGGTGCTAACAGGCCAAGGGCGTACCTGTTGATGCTCCACGAGGGGTAGGACTGGGGAAGGTACCCCCTTGTACGGTACCCAGCAGCGCTCTTATTGAACACTGTGAGCGGCACTGTGAGGGGGCCGACAGGCACGCACTGCCCCTTGAAGCACACAGAGCCATCAAGTCATGTAGGCTTACAAGTTACAAGGGCTTACGTGTTGGTGCTCCAGGTGGGGTATGACTGCGGCAGATACCCCTTGTCATAGTACAGCCACCCAGAGGCGCCCTTGGCAATAGTGGTAAGCGGCACTGTGAGGGGGCCAACAGGCAGGCACTGCCCCTTGAAGCACACGGAGCCGTTGGCGCAGTCGAGCTGCGGGGCGGAGAGGGAGGGCGAGTTGTCCACCAGCCCGTCGCAGTTGTCGTCCACTCCGTTGCACCTGGTAAGGGAGAGGAAGCATGAGCGGGGGAGCAGGGGAGCAGCGGGCTTTAGAGTCAAATCAAAAGCCAGCAGCAGGAGAGGGAGGGCGAGTTGTTGACGAGAGCATCACAGTTGTCGTCCATACATTGCAACTGATGTAGGAGCAGAGCAGAATGAGAGGAGCGAAGGGGGTGGGAGGGTGGAGGATTTAAAGTCAACCCAAGAGCCATCATGGTAACCACACTCTCAGACCGTGCTTTGATTTAGAACACCTACTCACACTTCCGACCTTGAGCGCAGAGGGTTCAGCTGGTTGTTTTGAGTTCCCAAGAACCAACCCAACCCAAGGGGATGTGCGCAGAGCAGTTTGTAGAAGACCCAACAATGCATGGCTCAACGTCAGCTCTACAGAATTTCCATGTAGCATTCACCCATGCGAATCACTCACAGACCCATTGGAATTGCTCCACACCCATGTGCACCACTCACACTTCCGGCCTGTGCACCGGTGCAGTGCGGTTCTGGAAGGCCCAGCAATGCAGGGCTCATTGAAGCACTTGTGATTCCCACCCATGCGCAGCACTCACTCGCGCTCCTTCCCATATCAGCTACTCACACTTCCGGCCCGTGCACGGGCGCCGTGCAGTTCTGGAACGCCCCCTCGATGCACGTCTCCACGCCAGCCCCACAGGGGTTGCGGCAGGGGCGCGTGAGAGGCAGATCGGTGAGCGGGTCGATGTCCACCTTGCCTGAAGTTGGGGGAGGGTTTCAGAAGAGTGCGAGGGAAAGGTGCATGTATGGTTGAGGGGGGGGGTGGTGAGGGGAGGGTGGTGAGAGGCAGGTGTGTGTGCAGGGGGTATGCGGGGGTTCCACCCTCCCCACCATCATTAGCCCATCGCACCTCCTGCAATATCAGCATCCGCTACAAGGTGCGCTGCTGCACCCCACTCCTCCAGCACGCATCTCCCACCATCTCCACGCTCTCTCACTCACCATCGTTGTTGTTGTCGAGCCCATCGCACACCTCCTGCAATATCAGCATACCGCTACAAGGTGCGCTGCTGCCCACACTCCCTCCAGCACGCATCCTCCACCTCCATGCTTCTCACTCACCATCGTTGTTGTTGTCGAGCCCATCGCAC